TCAAGTCTGAGTCTGACGGGCCATTATAAATGACAGCAAGGCTGGGCATTTTTATTAAGGAAGAGCCTTGCTTTAATGCTCTCTCTGGAAACTTGCACTCGACTTACCCGCAGCAATGCCTGGGTTTTTCCTTGCAGATCTGCAGCAGAGGAGAATGATTCCCTCTTTTGTCTTTCAATTATTGTTTCCCAGACACCATAAAAGGGGTGGCAAAAGCAGTGAGGGGACTCATTGGGCCCATTTGGGGATGTGTGTGTGTGGGGGGGGGAGTTCCAAAGCAACCCCTGACACCTCTATCAATGCCATTTAACCAAATGGACCATCTCCGCCTCTAAAAAAAGAAGCATTCTTCCTAGCACACGTAAGGACAGTAGCTGCAATACTGCCCATTGGCTATCATCAGTGGTGGTGCTGAAGAGCCAATAGTTCCCTCCTCTGCAGAGTGTGCCAGAATTTCTGGCTTGAGATTGTTATCACCTTGAAGTGCTCCCTGCCATCACTGAACCAAATAGGGTTCAGTTGCAGGACTGGGTGAATGTTGGGTGGGTGCCCCAGCAAAGTGCTCTTTTTGGGGCAACATGATAGAAGTTAATAAAACTATGCAAGACATAGGGAAAGTGGATAAAGGAAAGTTTTTCTCCCTTCCCCACAGCTGGTATATAACTCATTTCTAACAGCTGGTATTCAGAAGCATCACTGCCTGTAACTCTGAATAAAGAGCATATCCACTGTAACTGGTAGCCATTGATAGACTTCTCCTCCATGAATTTCTCCAAGCCTCTTTTAAATCCATGCAAGTTGGTGGCCACCACTGCCTCCTGGGGGATTGAGTTCCCTAGCTTAACTATGTGGGATGTGAAACACAAGAGCAGTCAAGTACAATATTCCTAGAGTGAACATGTTTACACATGGGGAGGAATGTTTGTCCAGCCATCAGGTAAACTTCCTGTTTCCTTCTGGGCTGGGACAGACTTCCTCTGCATGTGACTAGAAGTGGGTGTGGCCTCACCTGTGCAGGTAACTACAAAAGCACAGGGCAGGGCAGCTACCTCTCTCTTTCTCCACAAGCATTGGAGAAGCAACATCTGCTTCCAGCCAAGAGAGGACAAAGGGACTGTTTTCTTATGGAATAGTTTCCAAGTATATGTTACTTTTCTAAGCTAAGTCTGCCTTCTGGGATCCGATTGTGAACAGAATGTGTGAGTAAACCTTTTTTTATACATTTGTAGAAGACTGTGTCATGTCTTATCTTTTACGAAGGAATAAGGGAAAAATAACAAAACAGTTGTTATAGAGGCTTTAGCAAGCCTGAGCAAACACATCCGCTGCAAGTTTAAAAAGGGGGAATGCTACTCTGCTAAATTGTAGAACTTGTTAACACAAGTTGGAAAAGAATATAATCAGACAATATATCCTCTCCTGCATCCTTGAACATTCCCACAAACTATGTGTCATGTGAAGAAATACTTTCTTTTTCTTCTTTTTCTTTTTATCTGTCTTGTCAGGGACTGGGCAGAGGAGGAATGGTGGAGACCGCCTCCCCAGTCTGACCCTTCCTGAGAAGAAGGAGACAGTTCAGAATTACAACGGGGTTTGAGGGAGGTTACAGCTGAGAGGCAGTTGAGGGGGGAGGACTGGGAAATAATGGGAGAGGAGGAAGAAGCAGCACCAGGGGAGAGACAGTTGATTGACTCAGTGTCTTTAGAAAGCATTCCAGACCCCCCTCCTCTCCCAGAACACTGCGGGCCTTGAAAGTAGGAGAGCAAAGAGCTCAAAGGCAAAAGGCCCTTTCCAGCACTGGTAGTGATGACTCATGAGGAAGTGGGAGAGACAGAGGGGGTGGGGTTTCACTCGGAGCAACACCATTACTGCAAGAGGCTGCATTTCTAAGCGTCTCTCTGTGAATACTGAATAAAAAGCACTGGTAAGAACTTTCCTTGTCTTATCCATTCCTTGCAACCTACTGTGGGGGGTTGGGTCCTCTGATGCCTGACATGTCCTGAATCTCCCAACATTAAGTTGCACAGGATGTCCACAAGTTCCAATGTTATGACAGAGGGAGAAAATAGGAAAAAATATTTATCCACTTTCTTGATGCCATGTATCATTTTATAAACCTCTATCATGTGACCTCTTACACACCTTTTCTCTAAACTAAAAAGTCCTGAACTTTTCCTCATAGGGGATTCACTCCACCCACTTGATGATTTTGGGTTGCCTTTTTCTGAACCTTTTCCAACTCTATACAGTGGTACCTCTGGTTATGAACTTAATTTCTTCTGGAGGTCCGTTCTTAACCTGAAAGTATTCTTAACCTGAGGTACCACTTTAGCTAATGGGGTTTCCAGCTGCCGCCATGCCGCCAGCGCGTGATTTCTGTTCTCATCCTGAGGTAAAGTTTTTAACTCAAGGTACTACTTCCAGGTTAGCGGAGTCTGTAACCCTAAGTGTTTGTAACCCAAGGTGTTTGTAACCCGAGGTACCACTGTAATATCCTTTCTTGAGGTAAGCCAACAAGAACTGCACACAGTATACCAACTGTGGCTGCACCATAGAATTGTATACAGTGGTACCTCGGGTTAAGAACTTAATTCGTTCTGGAGGTTCGTTCTTAACCTGAAACTGTTCTTAACTGGAAGTACCACTTTAGCTACTGGGGCCTCCCGCTACCCTAGCACAATTTCTGTTCTCATCTTGAAGCAAAGTTCTTAACCCGAGGTACTATTTCTGGGTTAGCGGAGTCTGTAACGTGAAGCGCCTGTAACCTACAGCGTCTGTAACCTGAGGTATCACTGTAATAGTATTATGATCCTGGCAGTTTTAGGTTCAGTCCCCTTCCTAAAGACACCTAGCATGAGAATCACAGCTGGGAGAAATGCAGTTGTGCTCACATCCTGCTTCTGGTCTTCCCATTGGGGCATCTGGTTGGCCACTGGGAGAATAGGATGCTGGAGTGGATGGGTTGGTTCTTTTTGCATTCTCATGTTCATACTTCTGCAGAGAGACTAGTTGGATCTTGTTGACCTTTCACTGCCCAGCAGATGTGGCCAAGACTGGCCGAGTTTCCAGGATAGGATTTTGCAGTCTCACAGAGCTGTGTCAGGCCCTTGAGGTCCCAGAGCCATTCTGAATAGTTTGCGTGATCATGCCAGATCTGATTGTGCATCATGCCCAGTCAGCAAGACATAATGCAGCCATTCTCTCCCTTCTCTCTTCCATCTCTATTTCATTTCATTAAAAAAGTAAGTTTTATAGCCTACTGGATGTGCTGGATGGAAGGAAAAATACAAGGGCTTATCTCAGGGCTGCTAAATTGCAATCCTGGGCAGTGAGTCAACCTGGTTATTGCTGAGAGGAACAATGGAAGGGATTGATGGCTATTAGATGTAAATCGAACCTCTGCATTGAAGGGCAGTATATCTCTCAGCAGTAAATGCTGTGGGCCCACAAAGCAAGGCTGGTTGTGGGTGGCGATGGCAAAGTGACTTTCCCTGCCTTCCCTTCCCATAGTCCAGTGTTTTTCAGAAGAAAAGAAGAGCCTTTGCTGGATTAGGCCAAAGGAGGACCATCTAGTCCAGTATCCTGTTCTCACAGTGGCCAACCAGATGCCTGTGGGAAGTCTACAAGCAGGGCCTGAGGACAAAGAGCACTGTCAACTCCTGTGGCTTCCAGGGTAATGGGAACCGATATTCAGATTTTGCCCAAATATCCAGTTTAGAATGTGGCATTTGAAAACTGCAAAATACTTGTGTATGTCATCCATCAATGCTACTGCGTGTCAACTGTCAAATAGCAAATATGGAATTCATAAGGGGCTACCACCCCTTCTCATAGTGCTTGCCAATCTTGCCTACCTGCCACCAACCCACCAACCTCCTTGCCAACCCCCACCTCTCTCTTTACACCCAAATCTCAAATCCCCTCACAACCCCTTCAGGCACTCCCCCATATCCCATCACAGCTACTCTGTGTACCTCCATCCCTGCTCTAATCAAACCTCAGCTGTTGTTTAAAACCCAATTTTATATCCTGACTTTTCCTTTGCTCCCCTGCCATACCTTGGCCATGCAACTCCCAAGACTGTGATGAAGCACTACAAATCCTTCATCAGAGGCTGCCCTCTGACTTCATGCAAATCCAGGATTATGGCACAGCCTGATGACAGTCATATATATATATATATATAGTGGTACCTCAGGTTACGAACTTAATTCGTTCCAGAGGTCTGTTCTTAACCTGAAACCGTTCTTAACCTGAGGTACCACTTTAGCTAATGGGGCCTCCTGCTGCTGCTGCACTGCTGCTGCATGATTTCTGTTCTCATCCTGAGGTAAAGTTCTTAACCTTAGGTACTACTTACGGGTTAGCGGAGTTTGTAACCCGAAGTGTTTGTAATCTGAAGTGTTTGTAACCCAAGGTACCTCTCTCTCTCTCTCTCTCTGTGTATATATATATATATATATATATATATATATATATATATATATATGAAGAAATGTCATCTGTTCAATATTGTGGGCATCAACTAGATATATTTTGGGAAAACATTTTGGCAAATGTGGGTAGGGAGACCTTTAAGGTGTCTGAGGAGGTGTTCCAGCTCTGGAAACAAAAGTGCTCATTAACCCAAAACGTTGAGCCAATTTGCACATTTGGGATAACAGTATGGTCCAGTCCTGCTTGGACTCCACTCTTGCTGACTCAACCATGTAAAATGTCACATTTAAAGGGCAACCTGTGTTGAAATCCAACAAATCTTCACCACCCAAAGGTTTGTGTGCCAGGGAAGAAATTTCAGAGCTAGCCCACTCTCTGATTTGTTAGCCACTCATGTGAGATAAGGTTTCAGAGACAAGCAGAACTGCCAGATCCATGAGCAACAGTCTGGAGAGTTTCAGTGTGTCATCCTGCAACACTCCCCTTGAATGAACTCTGTTGACTTTTCTGTTTGTTTGCTTCTTTCTAACACAGCTCTGTGTCTATTTGCAGGTCAGGTTATCCTGTACGAAGCCATGCTTGGATTTTAATAGCCATGTTCCGACTTGCCATGGATTTCACCTCTTGTGAATCTTTGGGCCACGGTCATAGGCCCTTGCAAAGACCGGGTCACCGTGACCGACATGGATTCTGGCATAGTCCTTTGTGGAGTCTTAGATCTGGGCAGCAGGCCAGGAGTTATGGGCTTCCGGGGAACCATGCTTTCCCCTATTTGGAACGGTCTAACGGACAGCTGGCCAGTACGTATCATTCCAAACGTCTACACAAAGCCACGGACCTCCTCTGGGAAAATGGGCACCCCGAGCACTTTGTGCCCGCCAGATCAGACCCTTCTCTGGCAGACGGGAGTACAGCATACCAGACTTACTTGAGGAGGAGGAAAAGGTACCTCCGGGCGATTGGCAAGCCCACTCCAGAGACCGAGGTGATTGTCTGGGGGTCCACAAGCCCTTTGGAAACCCTGGAGAGCTTCTCGGGAATTTATGGCAGTGCCACCACCATCTCTGTTTTGCGACACAAGACCACCACCATCTCCACCACCACCACCACCACGATCACCACCACAACTGCAGCTTCCACGACGGTTCAGCCAGAAGGACCTGGCCCTGGGATTGGCACACCCAAGAACAACCCCGGTGTGATTAGCACAATGATACCACCTGCCACTTCTGATGGGAACAGAAAAGAGGTTGGTGCCCCTCCGCCCAAGATCCCAGGAGACACTTCAGGTATATTTATAGATTGCTTTTAGATCTGTATGTATTTGCTTGCACATGTGCAAATGTTGCATTTCATTTCCAGTTGTTGACCCAAGCGGGAAAACAAACAAACACACTGGGTGTCTATTGTGATTGGGTGAAGGGGCATACTACGTAACAGAAATGCAACACACACACACCACTAATTCATAGAACATGATATCAGAGTGGTTCACAACAATTTTATATAAAACCATGCAATAAAAGCCATATTAAAAAAGTTAAAATCTGGAATTAGGAAACGATTGTGGAAAGCTGTATTATTAATTGCCTGTATGCAGCCTGAAAGAATAGAAAGGTTTTCAGCAAATATTTAAAAGTTGGCACAGAAGGAGCTTTCTGAATCCTCTGTTCGCTGAGCATTACACCATACTGGGCCAATGACACCAAAGACTCAATTTCTTGTTGTTAGTATTGAGACCGAAATGGGACAGAATTAACTGCTTAGCCCATCTGTGTAGCCCACCTGATCCTCATCACCCCTCTGCCATTTTGTAACCCATTATAGAAAACCCACAGTGTGATTTCCTTAATGCCAAAATAATTTTCTTGAACACAGTTGCATGCTGGTAAGTTACTTAGGACTGTCCTATCATTAGGCAGTTGCCTCAGATGGCAGATACTGGGGGGTGGGGTGCAGGGGGCAGTGGCGGAGAGATGGTGGAAGAAAGGTGTCTATGTACCAGTTGGCCAATCCCTGCTCCCTCTAAACTTCCTTGTTGACTTCCAGTGTGGTGGAGGATACCATCATGTTGGCAGTGTTGAATGAAAATTCAGCTCCCAGTCTGGTCAGCTTTTGCACCTGAGGCGAAGGAGGCAACTCTCTAGCCTTTTGTTTCAAGTGGCAAAAAGACGCAGTCTTTCCCTTGAGCCCTCTAATGACCTGGACATAAAAGAACAATAAGAGCCTGCTGAATCAGAACAATGGCCCATCTAGTACACAGTGGCCACTCAGATACCTATGATGGGAAGCCTGCAAGCAGGATTCGAGCATAGGATCACTCTCCCCATCCTGTGGCTTCCAGAAACTGGTATTCAGAAGCATTACTGCCTCTGACGGTGGAGGCAGAGTATTGCCATCAAGGTTAGTAGCCACTGATAGTCCTTTCCTCCATGGATTTGTCTAATCCCCTTTTTAAGCCATCCAAGTTGGTAGCCACCACTGCGTCCTGTGGCAGGGAGTTCCATAGTTTAACGATGTGTTGTGTGAAGAAGGGTTTACTTTTGTCTGCCTTGGCTCTTTCAACATTTAGTTTCACTGGATGTCCACGAGTTCTAATGTCTTATGAGAGAAGGGGGAAAACCCCACCCCTTTCTCCTTCCACTTTTTCCATGCCATGCATGCATACTTTTATAAACTTCTATCATGGACCCCTTCTTGGGAGTAGTTTTCTAGTAAAGAAACAAACGAACAAAAGGATTACAGTTGAAAATGGAATGAAATGAGTTTCAAGGAAAATGTTCAGCCACTGAGCAAACTGGAACTCCCTCCTTCCCTCCCTCTGATCCTTCATTTTTATGTGTGGTACTCACTGGGGGTTTAAAGGGGGTTTGTCCGTAAGCTCAGTAAATCCACACGTGGGAGCCCTGTAATCGAATCTAAGCGCCATGCTCATTCCTCATAGCGCAACGCACCGATTCCATTCGCTCAGCAGCTGGAAGTGGACTTTCCATTTATTGCAAATTATGTTTGCTATTACAGAAGTTTAGACTGGAAGGCCCTTTGCCACACATGAAGTAAATTAAATCGCAGAGAATGTTGGTTGTGACTCGTAGAGCCCAGAAAGATGCTTCTCTTTAATAAAAGGGAAAGAGAGGAATTGTTGGAATTTACAGTATAATCTATACCCAGATTAATTTCTCTAATGGACCCATCTTCTAGGGAGAAATAGATATTAACTTATTCCTTTCCCTGAATACTGAACTAGGCATTAAAAGGAGTGTTTGGTGGGCTGCTGAAACGAAAAGGAAAAGCAGCAGTCTTGCATCTGCTCTTTAGCCAGTGCAGCCACCTCCAGATTTAGACTACAATTCCCATCAGGCCTAGGCAGCATAAGTTAAGGATCAGAGACAGTGGGGGCTGTACACCACAATATCAGAAGGTTGCTGTATTGACTACTCATTGTGTGGCACTATCAACCTGGAGTGCTATGTCCAGTTCTGGGGACCACATTCCAAAGGATATTGGGATAGCTCAGTCGGTAGAGCATGAGACTCTTAATCTCAAGGTTGGGGTTCGAGCCTCACCTTGGGCAAAGAATCCTGCATTGCAAGGGGGTTGGCCTAGATGGTCCGCATGGTCCCTTCCAACTCTGCAATTCTATGATAAGTTGGAAGGTGTTCAGAGGAGGGTGACCGGGTTGATCAAGAACGGCTATGAAGAATGGCTGAGGGAGTTGGGTATGCTCAGCTTGGAGGAGAGAAGACTGAGAGGTGATGTGATAGTCATCTTCAAGTACTCAAAGGGCTGTCTGTCCCAGCCTGTCCCAGATAAGGAAGGCACATGCTTGTTAGTTACCTCTTTATTGGCAAGAGAAACACTGACAGCAGCTTCCTCCATGCTCTGGATAGGCATGCACACATGCTTCTAGGTAAAGGTAAAGGTAAAGGTCCAGTCATGGCTGACTCTGGGGTTGCTGCGCTCATCTCGCTTTATTGGCCAAGGGAGCCAGCGTACAGCTTCCAGGTCATGTGGCCAGCATGACTAAGCCGCTTCTGGCGAACCAGAGCAGTGCACGGAAATGCCGTTTACCTTCCCACCAGAGTGGTACCTATTTATCTACTTGCACTTTGACGTGCTTTTGAACTGCTAGGTTGGCAGGAACAGGGACCGAGCAACGGGAGCTCACCCCGTAGCGGGGATTCGAACCACCGACCTTCTGATGGGCAAGTCCTAGGCTCTGTGGTTTAACCCACAGTGCCACCAGTGTCCCCATGCTTCTAGGCAGCTGTCCACAAATCTGGGCCCTGTGGAGCAGTTGCAGCAACAGGGAAAACCTTCCCCTTTGCCAGCTTATATACATTTCCCTGAAAGGTTGCCCACCCACAAGCTGCGACTTCTGCATGGAAGGTGCCACTGCCCTTCCCACTTCAAGCCCCTCCTGGTTTTAGGAGATGCTGGGTGGGGGAGCTTTGTGGGGAGTCTAGTGACCTGTCTGTTGGCTAAACAGCCTCTTCTTCTTCTGGCACACCTGGCACACCTTCCTCTCTCTCAGTCTGCCCTGACTCTCCCTCCCCTGACTCCTGCCTTGCAGGCAAAAACATCACAGACCATAAATCACTGCTCCCTTCTTCGGGGTCACTCTGCTGGTCCTCTGCCTGCACCACACACCCTTCAGAGTCTGTCACTCCCTGACGCCATCACATGGAAGATGGAGCAAGTTTATTTTCTGCTGCTCTGGAGGGTAGGACTCAAACCAATGGATTCAAATGATAGGAAGAACTTTCTGATGGTGAGAGCCATTCGACAGTGGAACAGACTCCTTCAGGAAGTGGTGGCCTCTCCCTCACTGGAGGTTTGCAAACAGAGATTTGGATGGCCATCTGTCAGGGCTTGTTTAGCTGTGATTCATGCACTGCTTGGGGTCAGACTAAATTGCCCTTGGGGGAACCTTCCAGCACCACAATTCTGTGATTCTACCATTCTATTATCCTAAATGCCTGATGGCAACATGGTTAAGGATGCAACTGAAATTTATCCAAATTTATTTCTAGACTCGGGAACTCTAAAGTACATCATTTTGCTTGCCGCGTCTCCTGATAGCAGCCTTGTGGCTCCAAGGTGAATAATGTCTTGTTCCAGCTTGAGTCAGGCAGGAGGAGGTAGCAATCAATCTTTGGAATTTTATTCACTGGTTGGTTTTCATTTATGAATTGCTTCCTATGCGATTTAAGAAACAAAAACAGCAGAAATAAAAACCTACACAAAAGCACTTCATACATAAAAGCAATTAAAACAATTCCACATGTGGAAAAGCAATTCCATGGATGAAAACAATTTCAAATTTCATACAGACCGGGGGTTTTTATATTTTATATATATTTTTTTAAAAAACTGAATACCTCTACTTGAGAGCCTGGTTGAAAAAGGAACACTTTCAATCAGCACTGGAAAGACTACAAAGCCTGTCTGATAGCAGGAGAGGGGGAGAGAGAGAGTTTTGGTGGTTAGGTGCTGCTACACGTAATGCTTGATTCCAATATTATATGGATGGACTTTTGATGAGATTATATCTGTGCAGTGTTTGTTTGGGTAGTTAAGAAGAGCGAAGAACCAGTGTGGTGTAGATGGAATAAAAATGGGAGACCTGGGTTCAAATCCCTGTTGTGAAGATAACCCAGTAATCTTGAGCCAGCCAGTCACCACTTCTCAGCCTCAGTGTTTCTCATCTATTCATTTAATCCACACAACAACCCTGTGAGGCAGGTTAGGCCGAGAGGCAGTGACTGGCCCAAGGTCACCCAGCTTCATGGCCAAGTGTAAAACTGAAGCTGGGTGTCTTGGGTCCTAGTCCAGTACTCTAACCACTACACCTCTCTCTCTCTCTCTCTTGCATCCTGCCTTAAAACTCACATGCATTTTGCACATGATTTTCTCCTGATGTGTTCATTTTGCATTATAGAATCCATTCCTGCAGATTAATATTCCGTAATATACACCATTTCGGTGCGCACTACAGATTGCTATATATACTTTTTGAGGAGGAGGACTGTGCAGAAGCGGGAGCTAACTCCTAACCCTAACTCTTTCCTTTGGCACCTGATATGTGTGTTTCGAGGACCCGCCCTGTCTTTGTGAATGTAATATGCTTCAAATGTTTTCAATTCTCAGTTTTAAATTGTCGTATCGCACCCTGTGACCTGCTGGTGACAGGTGGGTAATAATCAAAGCTGTCAATGTTCCCCTTTTTTAAAGGGAAATTCCTTTATTCCGAATAGGATTCCTTGCAAGAAAAGGGAAAAGTTGACAGCTATGGTAATAATAATTGCAGATATGAAGAAGTGTGAATTTTGAAGGGTGCTGTGCATAGTTAAATTATGGAACTCACTGCTGTAGGGGGTTCATATATATTTTTTGTTCATATGGTGGCTCAGAAAATGCAAATTAGGTAGCTTTGCATTAAATTATAAACTAATTTCTATCTCATTCACTACCTGGACCTTACAGGATAATCAGCTTGCTTAGAGTGGTTTGCTACAAAAAGGCAGGGGGTTGCAGACTGGGAGGCCCCCACCTCTTATGCTATTTGTAGCTGAAACCTGGAGATTAGGTGAGGAGGGATGGAGGGAACGTGTGCCCGTTCACCCTTCCTACAGACACCTTGCTACCAATTCCGATCACTTACTGATTCAGTCGTTGCTCCTGCCCCGACACCCTCCGGGAGGTGCCTCCACTTCCGAGGATGTGAAGCAGGCTTTCTGGAGCTCCGTTGCTATTGGCAACAGAGTTCGACATGTGTTTGAAGTGGAGCAAGTTCCGCCCCCACACGCTGATACTGAGAGAGCATCGCTCTGTTGTGGGGAATGAACAGGAAAGGGCATGTATTTCAGGATCTTCCCCTGGAGGGGAGAGTGTTGCTAGGCATTATCCCTGACTTTGAGAAAAATTGCAAGGTTTTTACTCCCCTCCCTCTTTTTTCTTTTCAAAAACCCAATAACAACTTTCTTTTTATAAAACTTTACAAGAGTTCCTCTTGATCAATAATACATGATGTATATAATCTTGGCTTCAGTACACAATGTTACATCTTGTTAGACATTATATCGTGTTACAGCGCACTTGTGTGCCATAAAAGAAGGCCGATGCCTCATAGAAGCACACAATTGGACACTCTTGGAAACTCTTGGAAAAGCAATAATGTAGAGAGGAAGCTTTCCACTGTGTCCCTGGCTGAATCAGGGTTCTGGGCAAACTTCCTTACACTCAGCCTCTGTTGTGGGCAGTAAATTGTAAGCCAGTGCAATATAGCAGCAAGGGTGTCGGTCTGTGACCTGGGAGACCAGAGTTCAAATCTCCCGACTTGGCAATGAAGCTCCACTGGGTGAACTGGATTCACAGTTGCTGCGTCTCAGCCTAACGTACCTCACAGGGTTGTTGTGAGGGATTGAATGGAGAGGGAGGAGAACCGTGCATGCAACCTTGAACTCACTGGAGAAAAAAAGCTGGTCTATAAATGCCATAAGTAAATGAAATAATAAAATTGTGTCTTCTTCAACTGGTAGGGTGGGCTCATCCCTTAGACAAGGCTGCCTCTTGTGTCTCTGCATGAGTTGCTGGTTTACTATGAGAAGAGGATGCTGGTCAAGATGGGCCACTGGCCTGATCCAGAAGGGTTCTTATGCATCTGTAAAATGTGTGCAATTTAAATGCATTTTCTTTCATTGCCATTTCATTTGGAAATAAGCCTACAATAAAATGCAAGTGAGATGGAATGGAATTAAGCTGAACCATACATTTTTAGTAGTGGGGATGGGATGGCTAGTGTACAGGAAGCTCAAGCCGGAATGAAATTGCACCCTCTTCACCGAGGGGTGGGTGGAATTACTCTGAATCAAAAGCGCTGGCAAAGTGGTCCCCAGCAATGCTCAGAAACCAACTTTTAAGGGCTTTCAAAACCCTTCCTCAAAGAAGATGAGGTGAGCTCAAAGTCTTCCTCATACCTTCTCCTTTGCAAGTGGAAAAAACGGCTTGGGAAATGCATGCGAATTCATCAGGAATAAGATGGGAGGCATGAGGGTTAGGGCAACCCCTCAGCTTGTTTTGACCCTTAGCCTCCCTATTTGGCCACAGGGGATAATGCTAGTAACTCACCATGAGCCACAATAGTTCTACCTCAGGCATAGGCAAACTCGGCCCTCCAGATGTTTTAGGACTACATCTCCCATCATCCCTGACCACTGGTCCTGTTAGCTAGGGATGATGGGAGTTGTAGTCCCAAAACATCTGGAGGGCCGAGTTTGCCTATGCCTGTTCTATCTCCACTGTCAGAGGCAGTAGATGCATCTGAATGCCAGTTTGCTGGGAGAGAGACACTTTAGCACTTGGCTCCTACTTGGACATCCTGTGAGAAGAGGATGCTGGGCTGGAAGAAAATTTGGATTGAACCAGCTACAGGATCTTCCTAGGTTCTTAGGTTCACAGTATAGCCCATTCTCCAACCAAATTCTACTCTTTTGTTGACTAGGCTTTCACGTATTATTCTTATTATTTATATCCTGTCTTGCCTCCTGACAGGAACTCAAGGTGGCTTACAGATAAAACAGGTGTGGGGGGTGGGAAAAAAAACCATCCTTAAAAAACAATTAAACAGTAATAGAATTAAAGGTTTAATAGAATTAAACACACACATAGAGTGAAAACACCATAGCCACAGCACTTTCCTTAAAATCAGTGATTTTATTGGAACAAGAAAATCTTCACCTACCGGCTGGAGAACGAGGAGGGAGCCAGTCTGTTTTCTCGTGGAAGGGCATTCCAAAGTCTGGGGCCAGACACCAAGAAGGCCTTCTCTTGCATCTCCACCAAGTATGCCTTTGAAGGTGGCAGGACTGGGAGAAGGGCCTCTCCTGAAGAACTCAGAGCCTGGGCGTGTTCATATGAGGGGAAACGGTCTTCCAGATAGCCTGGGTCTAAGTTGTACAGAGCTTTATAGACTTCCAAGGTCTATGAAAACAGTTGAGGCCATAAGGCTACAGACTCGACATTAGCTACTCCCTTGGCTTATATCAAATAAAACTGCTTCCATGCAAGTTCCTATGACTCTAAAGGTGGAGCTGCCCTAGCACTGCCCCATATTTAGACAGAGTTCAAGTGAGGGCTTAAACTGGGGTGACAAATTGTGGGAATGCATGTGAGCCCCACACCCTGCAGTCATTTCTATGCATGCTGACTCTTGTTCAGGGGAGGGGGAATGGGTTTCTGTTGGAGTTGGAGTGGAGGGTGGGCATGTGGGGAGTAAATCTTGCATGCTCCCTTCTCCACAGGCAAAGCCCCTCACATATTTACTTGCATTCTTTTATAGCAAATTGAGCCCAAGATGTGATGTGTAACCTACTGTGCCACTGCCTGTGGTTGGCAATATTCATTTTGAGCTATTAACAATGTGTCATGGGATGCTAAGGTCTGCCTAAGGCCCGGGTGCTTTCTTTGCTTGCAAACTGGTGCAGCCCATGGATTGTGGGGGTGAATGAAGGCGTCACTTAGACCCACCCCCCAGCCACATGTAAATTGGGTGTCCAGGGCTCATCCTGGTATGGGACCGCAAGTGTTACACATCCTCAAAAGCTTTCCCTTTTTGCCTCTTGTGAAATATTGGCTGGTATGGACCGTTACGTTTTTCACCAAAGCATCTCTTCTTTTCTCCAGCTGGGAAACACAAGCATCATTCTCTTGCTCCCCCACCCCATCAGCCCTTTCAAAGGCCTGGAAAATGCTGTTTCTCTAATCTTCTCTGCAACCAAAATGATGCGCTCAGCATCTCCAGATCCCCCCTTCTCCTGCTTCTGCTGGTGTTTTCTAAGCAGATACCTCAGGTTGCTGCTAATTGATGTTTTACCCAAGGGTTAAGGTTCGGACAAAGGATAATCCTGCTGTTCCATACCAACATCTGACAGGTCTGAGTCACGAGGGGAGGGGAGGGAACCACGGCAATGCAATGCTCGAACCATCATCGACTGACCGCCGCTAATTGCAGTGGCATGCAGATTGGCCCTGAGCAGACTCCTTTCCCGCTTGCTGACATCAGAAGGAGATGATCAGAGTTAATTTGCCGGATTGCAGATAGGGAAGAGTAATGCTGAATTGCTCAGATTCTCGTTCCTCTCCTGTGCTGTGTAAGTCATCTCTGACTCTATTGTTATAAGAGAGGGAGAAAATAAACTTTTCCCTATCTGCTTTCTCGATGCCATGCATCATTTTATAAACTTCAATCGTGTCGCCTCTTACTCACTTTTTCTCTAAACTATAAAGTCCCAAAACACTGCAACCTTTCCTTACCCGGGAGTCTCTCCATCCCCTTGATCATTTTGGTTGCTCTTTTCTGAACCTTTCCCAACTCTACAATATCCTTTTCAAGGCCAGTATTCCAGGTGAGATTGTATCATGGATCATTTTAACTGCCTGGTGATATCAGCAGTCTTATTCCTTTCCTAGTGCTCCCTTGCATGGAATTTGCCGTTTTCACAGTTGCTGCACACTGGGTTGACATCTTCATCAGGTTATCCGCTGCACCCACAAGGTCTCATTCCGGCTCATTCACTGCCAGCTCAGACCTCATAAGCAAATATCTGAAACTAAGGTTTTTCGTGGCATTATATTTGCCACAAGGGGCAGCTGTTCACAGATCCCAGCAGTTATTGATTTTCAGCATGTGGGCACTAGGCCAGTATCAACTGGCCAGTATTGATCAGTATCATTGTTTATGGTCGGGGAAAATAATAACACATGAATGCTCTTAAGATCTCAGGAAAGTATGCATCCCCTTTCTTCAGAGGAGTGGGCTACGTAGGGTTTAATGCATACTTTCCTCCCAACAGTCCTGTGAGGTAGGTAGGGGTGGGTGAAAATAACCTGTTTGAAATCAGCCAGTTAGCTTCATGGCTGAGCTGAGATATGGTCCCTCATCTCCAGGTACTTGTTGTTGGAAAACTAGCCCCCTCGGGAGAGGCTGGCCCCTCTCCCAGGCTCCAGGGGCTTGTTTGCCGGTGATCTACCCTGGCTGGCATCCCGGCAGTCCAGGAAGATCTTGATAGGCAACACCTCCCTGCGTGAAAGGTGCACACCCCCTTCTTCCTTGCATACCAGCAGGAGAAAGAAGATAGTCAGAAAGTCTATTTCATCTCTAGTTTATTTCTGACTGTACAACTGTACAAAAACATGTCCGTTCACTTAGACTTCTCCGAGCAACTGCACTCAGACTTCCTTCACACAGGCAACAGGAAGGTCTCATGTTACACAAAGAACAAATTCCTGTGAATTCCCTGGAACTTCCTGTCCCACGGTCAGCTTCATCATGTGATGTAAATATCCAGCTGCTTGTTCGCAGCTGCGTAGTACTCATATCCCAACATTTGTTTAGTCGTTAGGTCGTGTCCGGCTCTTCGTGACCCCATGGACCAGAGCATGCCAGGCACTCCTGTCTTCCACTGCCTCCCGCAGTTTGGTCAAACTCATGCTGGTAGCTTTGAGAACACTATCCAACCATCTCGTCCTCTGTCGTCCCCTTCTCCTTGTGCCCTCCATCTTTCCCAACATCAGGGTCTTTTCCAGGGAGTCTTCTCTTCTCATGAGGTGGCCAAAGTATTGGAGCCTCAGCTTCACGATCTGTCCTTCCAGTGAGCACTTAGGAACTGTTCTATTTTCAAGCAGTATTGGTGACCCTATTGTATGATATTCTGGACAACTAAGTGTGGTTTTGTTTTCAAATGGACAGGAGGTAGTGAAGACCACCAGCTTGGGTGTACAAAAGAGGACTGGACAAATTCATGGAGGAATGGGCTATTGATGGCTGCTAGTCATGACAGCTGTGCTCTGTTTCCACAGTTGAAGGCAGCAATACCTCTGAATATCAGTTACTGGAAGCTACAGGAGGGGATAGTTGCTCTTGCAGGTTTCCCAGAAGAGGCAGCTGGTTGGCCACTGGGAGAACAGGATGCTGTACTAGATGGGTCATTGGCCTGATCCAGCAGGCTTTTCTCATGTTCTTATGCATGCTTTTTGATCTTCACAGTAATCCATATTTTTCTCCCTACGTGCGATTGGATAAAACCTACAAAGCAGAACTGGATGGAGGCTGGCTTTGTGCATTGCCACGTTGCCTAGACACTGCTCCCAAGGACGCCTCTCCTGCCTCTTTCGTCCTTGTCAAGACTGAACCTTTGGTGCATTCAGTTGCTGACATTCACAAAATTCCACCGAGAGCTGGTTGATGACATTGGTGCCACTACAGCACCAGAGATGGAGCGGGGAGTGTGGCACATCTAATTAAAATCAAAGTCAAAGGAAACCTGTTAAAGGGGAAATTTCAGGTGCCAAGGAAGGACAAAGACTTTTCCTTTTGATCCCTTATCTGAAACATTTCCTTTACACTCTATAAAGCACATTTGGATTCTGAAACTAATCGGCAGTCAGTGCCAGGGGTGCCAATTTGAATAAAATATTGGGGAAGCCCAAGTAAGCCCCACCATGCATAATCGATCACATGATGCAGTGCACACGCACCATGTGAATGGCAATGCCCATCAACTTTGGGGTGGCCTGGCCCCCCTCAATTTTTTTTTTTTTGGGGGGGGAGTCCCCTTGGCCCCTAGGAGTTGGCTCCTGTGGTCAGTGCAGTTGGGCCAGGATCAGTGTTGTTTGCTCAAACCATCTTGCCCCGGTGAGCAACCTAGCCGCTGAATTCTGCACCAGCTGAAGTTTCCAAACTGTCTTCAGAGGCAGCCACACACAGAACACATTGCAGTAATTAACCTAGAGCTTACCAGAGCCTTGGCAGCAGAAGTTAGGCCACCCCTGTCCAGATAGGGGTGCAGCTGGGCTGCCAGCCAAATGGAAAGAACTCCACACCCTTGAGACCAGCTGAGCCTCAAGTGACAGTAATGGATCCCCAATTTGTGTACCCACTCCTTCAGAGGGAATATAACCACATCAAGATCAGGCCACCTCCCATCCATCTGGCCTAAGGAACCACCCACTAATAGTCCCTCTGTCTTATTTGGATTGAGCTTCAGTTGATTGGCTCTCATCCAGTCCATTGCAATGGTCCAGTGCTACACTTGCAGATGTAAAGGAGAAGCAGAGCTGTGTGTCATCAGCATATTTCTGACAATGTACTCTAAAACTCTGGATGGCCCAACTCAGCAGTTTCATGTATATGCTAAGCAGCATGGGGGATAAAATTGAACCATGAGGAACCCCGCATGGAAGCCTCCATAGGGTGGAATGATGCTCCCCAAACATCACCCTTTGAAAACAACCATCCGAGTAGGACTGGAGCCACAGCAAGGCAGTGCTACCCACCTGCAACTCAGACAGCCTCTTCAGAAAGATGCCATGGTCAAATGGGGTCAAAAGCCACTGAACATCACACAAAAGTGCTGATTAACTTCCATGAGGACTTGTTTTTTAAAATAATATTAATATTAATATTAGTAATATAAGATAAAATTGCAAACTGATATGGAAAGAACTGATATGTGAAGAACTAATGAGTGGGGGGGGGACACGAATCTGAAATTGACAGATCCTCCCATCCCTAATTGTTCCTGCTGCAGCCCCCCTCCCCCCCCAAAAAGTGAGTAATTTTGACTCAGGTCTAAGAACAGACAATGGCAAGGGAGGTTCAGTCTGAAGGTTACCCATCCAGTTAAACAGACCATCTTTATGGTCCTAGAATTTCCATGGATAATCCTATCTAGAGATGTGAGCAAAATCTGAATTATTTAGGTACCTACAAAATGTTACATAATTTGTCATTTCAGGTCCTCAACAAAGTGAATGCACATAGAGTGAAATTCTATGAGGATTTGCAGGATTATGATGCCCTGGACCATATTATTTAAAGTTATTTTTAACCCCCTTTTAGGCAATAATAAATCTTGCTATGTTAGCTTCACTTTACACAAGTAATCTCCATTCTGCATACACCCCTATCATTTGTGTACAATAAGCCTGCAACTTACGTGCATTTAACTTATGCACATTCAGCTTTATAAGCATGACTTAAAAAAAAAAAAGAGGAGTGGGAAAGGGGTGGGGTTCCAGGAAAAATGTCTGGCATTTCCATCCACCACTGAACCCAATGGATTTTGACTTTACATGCTTTTGGCTTTAGGTGCAATCCCCAGAACGTAACACCCGTATCAGTTGCAGGCCTACTGTATATTAAAATGATGTAAAATTACATAAATCAAAAGATGCCATCAGTTATGTGGCCCAAATTCATGATGCAAGACGCACGTGAAAGTTTCTGCGAACACTTATGAAATCCTACAAAAAAGCATCAAATCATGAAAGGCAAGGTGCTGCAAAGCAGAGTGTGCTCAATAATTTGCAAAAAAAAAAGCAAAGAGAGATGAAACCCATTATACCACGAGTCCTGCAATTTCTGAAGTCCCTTTAGCCAGCTTCATATTAAGTTGATCTGAAGTTGCAGAGCGAATCTCAGGCTGCTGATCTCGAGGCTCTAAGTGTGAGGTGACAGCTGTGCGCATCCCGCAAGATGCTCTCATTTGGTGCAGGAGGCTTTGCGTTCCGCGTGGAGACACCAGATGCTCGGAAATGGAGACTTGTCGGTCCCTCTTAATCTGGTCGGCTGAATAGTACGATTTGTTGTGTTCGTCTTCTTAAATTTAAAGAGAACTGTGCTTATTTAGGACATGTATTTTTTGCTGTTTTGAAACGGGCGGAGGGGAACATGCACCCCAAGGGCCAAACGCAACCCTCCAACCTTCTCTCCTTGGCCTCTGGGATTCTCTCTAAGGCTACACCTCTTGGCCCAGGCCATACCCAATAAGCCTTGCATTGCACCCCCGCTAAGTGCTTTTTCCTGGCTGGAAAGTGTCCATGGAAGATAGAAGTCTGTGTGTGTGTGTGTGTGTGTGTGTGTGTGTAAATCTCTGGCTTCCAGTAGCTGAAATCTGGCTTGCTGTGTAACAGCAAAAGTTGCATTGATTGCTCTGCCTACTTTTGACTCTGGGTCCACTCTCTTTGTTGCCTATGGCCCCACCTACTACAGTGGTACCTTGGGTTAAGAACTTAATTCGTTCTGGAGGTCTGTTCTTAACTTGAAACTGTTCTTAACCTGAAGCACCACTTTAGCTAATGGGGCCTCCTGCTGCCGCTGCACCGCCGCTGGACGATTTCTGTTCTCATCCTGAAGCAAAGTTCTTAACACGAGGTAATATTTCTGGGTTAGCGGAGTCTGTAACCTGAAGTGTATGTAACCCGAGGTACCACTGTATAGGCCTTTGGCCCCCAGAAGCTTGCTTGTGAAGCTGAGAAAAGCTGCCTCACCTCTCTGTTAGGATATTTATCTTTTAACATGTGAAATGATGGAATGATTCTTTATTTTTTCTTATTGTAACGTCTCAGAGATAAAAGGGTTTTCTGAGCAGTATGGCATAGTAGAACATTAGCTTTGGGCTGTGATAGGTATGCTGGTAACTGGGAAGAGTAGGGCAGCTTCTTCCAACCTCGTAACCCCCAGGGCTCCCTCAGGCCCAGGCAACATGGCCAAGGGATATGGATTGTGGGAGTTGAAGTCCAACAACATACAGATAGCACCAGGTTAGGAAATTCTGCAGCAGGGTGTCTGAGAAAGGCACCGATACCAGAGGAGGGGTAGTCAAGAAACTGAGCATCCTTATTCAATTTCTGCAAGGGTAACTGGGGCAAGAGGCAAAGCTCACATGGAATGCAGCAACATCTCCATTTCTGTTTGCACAATCTGCCAGCCTGGACCTGCCAGGAGTCAACACTTTGCCTTAGGGAGAGGGAGAGGAGAGGGGAGGAATTTGATGCATTTTCCACTCAAAGCCAAGTCACACTTCCTGAAACAAAATGAGAACTGAAACACAGCCATCCTTCAAAATCTGCACATATCTGAATTTTTCAATGCAGTTATTCAACCGAAGAAGGCTTTTAAAGATGCAGCTATATTAGGGGGAAACGTGCATAAAAATCAATCTATTAGTGAAAACAACATACAAAAACGCATTATATAATGAGGACATTTACTGCAGAAATGTATAGATTATTCAAACTACACAGAAAAAGGTTTATTAAGAGCAATTTGATGCTGAATAATTTTAACAAGCATTATTTAAAAAGAAATTTGTAATTTGTTGAAGAAATGCAGATGAATTTCATTGTTAAGCATGAGATAAGTTGTTGATCCAGCAAGCTCCAACCCTCCTACCTCTTTCTTTGAAGAGTGAGGCAGGCACAAGCCTTAGTATAGCCATTGAGAGGTATCTCTTTTCTAGGCAAGCAAACAGGCACTTCCACCAATGAGTTGGGCATGTGTAAGGTTTGCTCCTGTTGGCACTGGTGTCTTTATGTCCTTGTCAATGGAAGTGCCTGCTCAGCATCAAACTTACTTTCAAGCACTTCTCACAAGCTTCCTGCTGGGGCATCAGATTGGCCACTCTGAAAACAGGATGCTGGACTACCTGCCCCCCACTTCTGCTCAGGTCCTGCTTTTGAACTTGGGGGATCTGGCTGGCCACTGTGAGAGAAGGATGTTGGTCTAGGTTGGCACCCTTTGGTCTCATCCAGCTGCAGGACCAATCTTAGGGTCTCAAGGTGGAAATACAGCCAGACATATGCAGTGGAAGCTAGAGCTGAACACATGTTTCCGTCACCTTCCTTTTCCTGGACTAAAGGGGCTGAAGGATAGCAGTCCATGGCGACTAATTGGAGAGGGTTGGTAGAATAGATGCAGGTGCAGGTTTGTACATTTCATTTCTCAAAAAACCAAAACAAAACCCCAAGACTGGGTGCATAGCTTGCCTCCCCTGTCATGTTGTGACCACCTGGTGTGCTAATGGCATCACCTGCAAGCTCATTCAGGAATATAACTTTATTCAGTTGTGTGTGTGTGCTTTACAGTGTGTGAGGGAACTAATGAACATACCCCTGTGTTGTCAGAGAAGAAGGATGTCCTGCGGTTTTTGGAACCTATTTGTGGATTTCTTGCAAAACCTGGGCTGCTCACAGCAAATGATCTGCTTAAGATCTGCTGCCTTGGAATGGCGGAGAGAGGGGAGGGGAGAATCAGGTCAGGAGTGATCTCTTGGTGTCCTGGTATGATTATTGCTATTAATAAGAGCAGCAGGGAGTCATCTGTTTCTCGCACACACCCGTTGGGCAAAGGGAAAAATAATGGTCAGGCCTGGGAAAACCGTCTGCCTAGGCTGATTAGGCTTGGTAGAAGCCAGCACAGGTGTTGCTGCTAATTGACATAATCAGTCCTGAAATGTGCTGAAATCAGGTGCTGGCTAGAGGAGAGTGGAACAGAAGTGAAGGTGGGATCACAGAAAGGATTGTCCCTTGAGAGGAAACCCTAGCCAAGGAATGGAGAACATCTGTGGCCCCCCAGATGTTGTCATGCTCCAAGTCCCATCAGCCAGCACAGCCAGTAGTTAGTAATGGTTGTTGTTGTTTATTGAATTTATCGTGAGTGTTGTGGTTCAGGAATATCTGGATGGTTGAAGAGTTTCCCACCCCAGCTCTAGATAATGGACTCCCAAGTCCCATTGGTCCCAGCCAGCATAGTCATTGGTCAGTGATGATTGGGAGTTGGAGTCAAATATCTGGATGCAAGTGCCTCATTTTGTGAAATGTCCTGAGACCTCTGGGTATAGCGGGGAGGGGGCCCAAAGGGTCATCTAGCAAAAAAAAAAAAATAATTCCCTGTGATGCAGGAATCACACCTGAGGAATCCCTGACAGATAGCCATACAACCTCTGTTTCAAAACCACCAGTGAAGGAGAGAACACCAAGGGGGTCCATTCCACTGTCAAACAGCTCTTCCCATCAGAAAGCTCTTCCTAATATTTAGCCGGAATTTCCTTTCTTGTAATTTGAATCCATTGGTTCAAGGCTTCTCCTCTGGAGGAGCTGAATACAAGCTGGTCAGTTTCATGGCTTAAAGGTGACTGCTAATGACACCCAGGACTGTTGAGCAGGAGTCCCTGGAAGAACTTTTGGGTTGGAGAACTGTATCAAAAATTCAGAGAAACGTGAATTTTGAAGGAGAGCTGTGCTTTGGTTCACTTAGTTTTTGAAGTGTGCCTTAGATCTGTTTGCAGTAAATTGCAACCTGTACAAATTTATCCTCCACCCCTAGGCTGAGTGTGTTGGAATTTGGTGTGTGTGTGTGTGTGTGTGTGTGTGTGTGTGTGTGTAGTAGCAGAGTGCAAAAACAGTCTTGTTGAAAAAATGTAGAAACACAATGTTTACTGCTCCTGGCAGGCAGAGCTGTTCTGCGTATGAACGTATGTTTAGCCATGACAGAGTCTCAAAGTTAAGAAAAAGGAAGCTCTAGCACTTAAAGTTCTGAAGAACAAGAAAGAAGTAAAGCCTGAGGTGGTGATGGGGGGAGCTGTAAGCATTGCAGGTTTACTCCAAATGGAATCTGCATCCCCAAGGCTTAACTCTGTGGGGGAGTGTTGACACATGGCTCTTGGAAGTCACCTCCATGGCACTCCCTTAAACTGTTGTGTGTATTAAAAGTGACTAGCGAAAGCTTGTTCGTTTGCTCTTGCCCATCAATACTTAAGCAGCAGAAAAGAAGAAGAAAAAAGAGGAGAGGAAGACAAACTCCTTTTTCCATGCCGGTTAGAAAAGCCTATTGATTCTTCTAGTTTTAAGAGGCTGCATTCTGCACTGATTGAAACCTCCATCAGAGGCTTAAGATAGCTCTTTTCATGCTTGAGTTAGCTGTAAAAGAGCGGGTCTTTTATTGACTGGTCAACTGACTCATTTTCCCCTTGATTTACCTCCAGGTAGGCACTTTTTCTCCCGAGGATCTATATGTCGAGGTCTTTGCCGCATGACAGGGTGCCCAGTGGGGCTTGACCATGTCAGCTGAGAGAAGGGGCCATTGCATTGCTTCGTGACCCCCCATCCTCAAGTTGTGGGAAATCGGGCGGAGGGAGCCTTGACAGGTTCACCTTGCTATGGGAGAGGAAAGCGCCGGAAAGGCACCTGCTTATTTGCAAACTAGCAAATTTCACCGGCATGCTCGCACCTCTGAAGAGAAAAGTCAATTCCTCTTTTGCAAGAGCAGCTTCACCCACTCTTGAGCTGAAATGCTGATTTATGTTAATAGACCCCATGAGCGTGTATGTGAAATTAAGAGGTTTTTGCTCCAACATGCATCACTTTGCAAGTGATTTAATCGAACCATTTATTTCTGCATTGCAGTGCGGTAGATTAGATGGTCTTTTGGGTCCCACCCAATGCTATAATTCTTTGATCTGCTACCTGTTAACAATTCAATATGGATAAAATAATTTCTTCATGCAACAACATAGTTAAAATGTGGAACTCACGGCCACAGGAAGCAGGGATGGCCACCAGTTTGCATGGCTCAGGCAAATTCATGGAGGAGAGGACCACTGATGGCTGCTTTCATGATGGCTGTGCTCTGGCTCCACAGTTGGACGCAGTGATGCTTCTCTATGCCAGTTGATGGAAACCATTGGAGGGGAGAGGGCTCTTGTGCTCAAGCCCTGCTTGCTGGTTTTTCACAGGCATTGTGAGAACAGGATGGTGGACTAGATGAATCAAGAGTCCAACTCTTCATCCTTTATTTGAACCACGAGCACTGGAATATTTTTCATTACATACATACACACACACACACACACACACATATATATATATAATAGTCAAAATAATTTACAACAAAATAAAAACAGAGCCAGCTGGTGACTTGCTGTTATAGAGCAATAGTACATGGTTGGCTATAGCATCAGAATATGAAGAGGTTTAATCTAAAGTCAGACTAGAAAGTAGAATTATTGTTTGCACAGGAACAGTGAGGGCTATTAATAGTGTATATCAGTCCCAAATAAAGTTGAATATTAATATACACCCACTGTGTGATGGTGTAGTCCATTGGCTTGGTTGTGAGTCATGAAACATGCATCAAATTAGTCAACTTTTCTGAAATTGCAATATGCAGGACCTTCTGAAACCAAATGAGAATGGAAAAAATCTGACAGATTTCTCCATCCTGGGGCAATTCTCAACCTAGCCATATCCAACAAATATACAATGAGGACTAGAATCTTAATTTATTTTTAGATGAAAGATAATAGCTCAGTGGTGGAGCACATTCTTTGCATGCAGAAGGCATCTGGTATCTCCAGGTAGGACTGGGGAATGACCTCTCTAGCTGAAAAGCTGGAGAGCTCCTGGCTGTCCGGATGAAGAATACTAACAGTCTGACTCAGTGTAAGGCAGTTTCCTCGTGCTCCTATGCAAGTTCAGCATTGCAGGGAATGGTTGTTCAGCACCCCCTTATATGACCAAGGAACTTCTAACGGAGCTTCTCTATAAAATAGCTTGAAAATGACTTGTCTAAAGCAAGTAAAATGTAGGAAAAGAGCCTGGGTGAAGAAGGAAGAGAGGCCTGGAGAGACTCTTTTGAACACACAATGAATTTGTTCAAACATTGCAAAGCTCAGAGGTCCCTGAAGCACCTGCTCTTTCAATTGTAACCTTTCTGATTATTTTGACATCTTCTGTTAGAGTCAATTACACTCTTCTGGAGGCAATCGGAGACCTGGACTCTGCTCTGGCGGAGATGAACTTTTACTCTCTCATTCGGAGCTTGGTTAATATGTTTTGGGCATCCAAGAACGGGAAAGGAGAATAGGAGGAAGGGAGTTTGGGCAGGAAGATGGGAAGGGTCCATAAAGACGTACCATTAATCTCCCCAGGTACATAGTTTGCAAGGGCTGACAGCTGCCTCTGGAACCCAAATGATCTTAGGTTTATTGAACCTCACATTGAATAGTGAGATTTGTTAAGCTCTCTCCCCATCTCCTGCTAAAGAATTTTGTTTTTGCACTTCTGCAGAAAAGTGAGGATGGATGTCTTTCAGTTTACGCCTTGTTTCAGAAGGTACAAATTAGGAACGTTTGCTTTTAAATGCAGAATGAATCAAATTTCTTCTGTATCCCTAACCGGTGAGCAGTGGATCTTTTAAAGAGAGGTTGTGCTCCATGTAAAACATCAGGATGAAAGCTTTGGAGTTCGCATCAGTTTATTGTGGGGAAAAGACCAAAATACAGTTTTCCTAACCCAACACTTTTGCAAGAGAGGCCCTTGAGGGAACTGAGGTTTTCTTTGTTTTTAATTAGGAAATTCTGCTTCCTGCAGTTGCAACATCAGATTTTATGGCCACAGCTCAGCGAAAAACTCGGTCCCAAATCAATTTTCATCAGAAATTAATCATGCCAGTGGTGATCGTGCCCCTCTCCCCTCCAATATCAATGCAGGCTTCAAAGTCAATGGAGCTGAGATGCCCTGAAGGGTAGGAAAGGGAGCTATGCTTAAAAATGCTCAGGGTTTTGATTTTCAGGTGGAAATTAACCATTTCATTGATCTGGATATCTTTCCTGGAAAAACAACTACACTAGATGGTGTGAATATTTGCTTTTATTTCAACCTATTCTTTTATCCCTGACCCAGACCCAACCATTCCAGATTCAGACCAGTCTTTTTGGGGTGTTATCAAAAACTGGCCATTCCACATGGGATGCAGATTTCAAAGGGGTTTAAAGAAATGCATGGAGGATCAGCATACCAATGGCTGCTAACTATAACTCTGAATACTTGCTGCTGAGGATCATAAGTGTTGAGTCTGCTGTTGCCCCCTCATGCTCTGTTTGGGGGCTTCCTAGAGGCATCTGGTCAGTCACTGTGAGTTATTAAAGGTTCAGAAAAGAGCAGCCATTATGGTCAAGAGGATGGAGTGGTTTCCCTATGAGGAACACTTGCAGCATTTTAGTTTAGAGAAAAGACAAGCAATAGCTGATGTGATAGAAGTTTACAAAATGAGGCACGGTATGGAGAAAGTGGATAAAGAAAAGCATTTCTCCCTCTCCTCGTGGACATCCAATGAAGCTGAATGTTGTGTGATTCAGGACACATAAAAGAAAGTCCTTCTTCACACAGCACATTGTTAAACTGTGCAACTCTGTCCCGTGAGAGCTAGTGATGGCCACCAACGTTGATGGCTTTGGAAGAGGATCACACAGATTCATGGAGGATAACAGTGGCTACTGGCCATGATGGCTATGCTCTGCCTCCATGATTAGAGGCAGTAATGCTTCTCAATACCAGTTGCTGGAAACCACAGGAGGAGTGAGTTGTTCTTTGCTCAGTTCCTGCTTGCTGGTTTCCACAAACATTTGGTTGGCCACTGTGAGAACCAGATGCTGGACTAGATGGGCCATCCTTGGTCTGACCCAGCAGGGCTCTCCTTATGTTCCTATTAGCATATACACATCTTTATCAACAAGTGTGGATTATATTGGTTTTCGTGAAAACATGGTCCAAATATGGACCAAATCCCCCTCTTTCTCTCTGTTTCCTGCATGTTGATCGGTAAGGAAGATGGAGCAAGCTTGTTTTCTGCAGCCCCAGAGGGTAGGATCTAAACCAGGGTTTCCCAAACTTGGGTCTGTGGCTGTTTTTGGACTGCAGTTCCCATTGTCCATGACCACTGGTCCTGCTAGCTAGGGATGATGGGAGGTAGTCCAAAAAAAAAGAAAAGAAAAAAGCTAGAGACCCAAGTTTGGGAAACCCTGATCGAAATCAATGTATTCAGTTGACAAGAGAGATGTTCTGGCTAAATATTAAGAAGAACTTTCGGATAGTAAGAAAAGTTCAGCACTGGAACAGATTCGCTCAGAAGGTGCTGGACTCTCTTTCATTGGAGGTTTTTCAACAGAGTTTGGATGGCTCTCACTTCTGGATTTTGTAGCTGTGATTCCTGCATTGCAGGGGATTGGATGAAATGGTCCTTGGGGCCCCTTCCAACTCTACAATTCTATGATTCTGTAATAATTCATCTCCCATCCCATTCCCTTCATACATCACTCTCACTCTCTTTCTTATAAACTGCCACTGTAAATATGTCATGATATAGCATAAACCGCTGGAGATTGTTTCCAGGTTTTTTTGTTTTTTTTTATAAAAGTACAATTGCTCACTGTTGCATGGGAAGTCTTTAACTCTTGAATGAATCCTTTAGCCCCCACATCCTGCCATCACCCTAGAAAATTGCATGAGCTCCATCAGGTTTGACAGGTAGATGGAGAGTGTTTATCTTCTCCCTCTGTGATTATCAGGGCAATGTTGACGGCACTTCCTCTAATCCAAGTCTGTGTGGACCTCAGTTTAGCAGTTTCATCCTTGTGGTGTACTGGTGATGATACACTTTGCTCTGTGTAATTTCCTGAGGCAATTGGCTGCCTGGGTAATTAACATGCAATTAAGCACTCTCTCCCATTACTAAGCCCCTCAGAATTAGTTACTTAATTATCCCTCTTTCCACCAGCTCACACCATTAACCTCAATTGTCCAAACCAGTAATGGGTGACTTCTGTATTCTTGGAGGATGTCCCATTCTCCATTCCATCATCTGTGGGCCTTTGGGATATTGCCAGGGTGGGATTATGGGGCATGGGCCAGGAATAATTTTTTAAGTGTTTCTGGGTGGGGAAAGAGTTTGGGGAAAGTTGAATTGGGAGGGTTATCTGGGTTACTGAACAGGGTACTAATTTGAGAGATTAAATTAATTTAAAACGGCTTTATCTGGGGATGATTTGGGAGTAATGGGATTAAATTAATTTGGGCCAGGTTCTGTTGGGAAATTAATTAAAGCTAAATGGTTTGAATAGGATTGATTTAGGGTGATCCTGGGTGGGGTGCAAATAATGACAAGTTTATCTGGCATAATTTGTATGGGGAATTATCTGGCATTCATTCTACAACATTTATTTTTGCAAGTTCTACACATTGTGGACCTACATTGGTCATACCCATGAATTTCTTTCTCCCCCCCCCAATACATTTTTATTAAATTTCCACTTTAAACAACAAACAATAAATTTCCACATTCATCTATACAACTTCTTTTCCACCACTCTGCCGAGCAAAGTCATACCCATGAATTTCTGTTCTGAGTAGGAGCAGAATTACCAATTCAAGTCTTAAGTGGACGAGCCCATAGCCTAAATCTTTTAAATACCTAGCAACACCACTAGCTGTGAGCCAAGTGATCTGTTTTGTTGTGTAGTTACAAGGGCCTGCCCTGTTCTGCTCCCATGGTAGAGGCTGCAGAACAAGGCAGGTTAGTTGGTTCAGCACCACGGAGAGCTCCAAGTGAGCAACTTGCTCCCAACAATAGTTGGAGGTGATTTGGGTGGTTTCTGCAGAAATGCCAACATCACGGCATAAGCCTGTTGTTTGGAGCCAATGATGTTTTACTCAAAGTAGTCCAATTGAAGTGAATTTCTTTTTCTTTAGTCATGCTGCTTGATTTCAGTGAACCTGCTCTAAGTAAGAGTAATGTTGGATACAACTCCAGATGACTCCATCCAGGTTCTGACTGCCTTATGGATGCCGCACAATTCCTTAATGCTGATAAGAAGTAAATTGACTTCATCTTCCTCCTCCCCCACCAAGGGGATGTAGTGGCTCCCCTATGAAGAAAGGTTACATCATTTGGGACTTTTTAATTTAGAAAAATGACACTCAAGAGAAACAAGTTAGAGCCCACAGAATAGCTGTCGGTAGAGCATGAGACTCTTAATCTCAAGTTCATGGGTTTGAGTCCCACATTGTAGGGGGTTGGACTAAATGACCCTCATGGTCTCTTCTGATTTTACAATAGTTCTGAGTTTATAAAATGATGCATGGCATGAAGAAAGTAGATAGAATAAAGTTTTTCTCTCTTTCTCATAACTTTATAACTCATTGACATGCAATAAAACTGAATTCAGGACACATAAAAGGAAGTACTTCTAGACACAGTGCATAGTTAAATTATGGAACTCACTCCCACAGGAAGCAGTGATGGCCACCAATCCAGATATTTTTCAAAGCAGATTGGACAAATTCATGGAGGACTCAACTATTGATGACTACTAGCCATGACGGCTGTGCTCTGCCTTGATTGTCAAAGGCAATAATACTTCTGAATCCCAGTTGCTGGAATCTACAGGAGGGGAGATGGTTCTTGGGTTCAGTTCCTATTTGTGGGTTTCCCATTGAGGCATCTGTTTAACTATTGTGGCAATAGAATGCTGGAGTAGATGGGCTGTTGGCCTGATCAAGCAGATCCTTCTTAAAATAAAAATTTTAAATACCAGGATTTGTTGCTTCTGCTAGCAACTCAGAGTGGAAGCTAAAACTATCTGAACTATCCTGTCTGAAGGCCCATGCAGTATATGTATCTGATTGCTTATGCAATAATGCTTGCTGATGTATCATTCTTTAGCCTGTAGATGTCTCAGCTCAAGAGGGCGACATATGGAAGAACGTAATGCCATTTCCAACTCAGTGGTTGAAGCTTTGCCTTGTTGAAACTCATTCTGACAGATTTTGATTCAGGAAAAAAAAAGATTAAAGAAACAGAGCTGAGCTTTTAAGGACAGAAACATCACTGTGGCATGAAATTATGAAGGTGTATTCTAAAGAAGTGTTTCTCAATCTGGTGCCATCCAAATGTTTCAACAGTACAAGCAGATATTGCCAATGGTCAGGGATAATGGGATTTGTCATTCATAAAATCCAGAGGGCACAGAGTTGGGGGAGGCTGCAGGAAAAACACATTCCATGAGATAAGATAATAGTGGGCACATTTCCAAGTGGACATCTCTTACAGGCAGTGGTGGGAATTCCAATTGTGGTTGTGGTGGAGATACAATAAAGTCCACAGCTGCTACACCATCAGTGTATACTCCCTTAGATGGAAGACATCTCTAAAAAAAAATGTAGACTCCCCCCCCCCCAAACTCTAGAAGCAAAAGCAATTAATTACTAATTCAATTCTAAGTGAGGGGTGTCCAGTAGTTGGTAATAAAAATAATGTATAAATTGGTCTTTCTTTTAAAAAAATGCATTTGTACATCAGGGTTTGGGGGTGCGATTTTTTTTGGAGGAATTTAGTCCTTGTGAGTTCTGGTACAAACTAATCCAATCTACACTTCCTGGAACAATTACCAAGCCAATTCTGAGTGAGCGATGTTCTGTCTTTGCTCATAAAAATACTGCATACCATTTTCTTTCTTTTTTCATTTTCATTTTTGAAAATATATTTGTACATAGAACTTTGTGAGGAATCCATCCATTGTTCATTCTGCTGCGGGCTGATCTGAGAGAGAGAGAGATTAGAATGTGTTTTAAAATGTGTATTTAAATGCAGGTCAGCTTGCGACTGAACTTTGCAATTTAAATCCACATTTGGTGTTGGTTTTTGTTTTTTTTAAATGCAGATGAATGAAGAAATGAGATGAAATGGTCATAAGAAGGCATGCTTGCAAAAGTGACATCAAGTGGAAAGAATTTGCTTTGTCTATCCCTGTTTCATATTGGTGGAGACACTGATGACTCAAGATTATGGATGGGAGAGTAATTCATTTAGTTTATAGGGAAGACAGAGGTGACCATCTTCAGACTGGACTAGATGACCCTTGGGATCCCTTCCAACTCTACAGTTCTATGATTCCATTAATGCAGACCTACCAATTTGCACTTCCTTGACAGAGTAAAACACAGCTGTCTTTTCAAGTGTGTCCTCCTCCAAATGTTGTAATGCAGTCATATAACCAAAAATTCATATGTTACAGGAAAGCGTCATGTGTACACAGCCCTAGAGAGGGTGTTGGGCATCTCTTCTAAAACAAGTGCCCACCCTAGTTATTGGCCATGCTGGCTGAGGGCTGATGAGAGTTGTAGTCCAAAATGCCCATGATGGCTGCAGATGATGGGAGTCATAGTCCAAAACATCTGAAAGGCACTAGCTTTGGGAAGGCTGCTGTAAGGTTCCTTCCCCCTCCCTTCAGCTAATGACCATCTGAATAGCCCCAACTCAAGAAGGCTATTTTTCATCTGGACTTCACATCATGGTTTTTAGTAGGGATGATTTTTTCTGGAACTCCAAAAGTGTCAGAGGACTTGAAATAACCATTTTTTCCCCTTCCTCATTCTTAGTGGATTCGCCTGCACAAAATCCCTCCCTTGGCTGGGATACTAAATTGTGAGTTTGATGGTCCTTTTTAAGAGGGGAAAGAAATGCCTTGTAAAAGTTGCTCCGAAGTCTCCATTACTTTTATCACCCTTGTCAATTTGATGCAGGAATCCTCTTTTTTTTGCGCACGGGGGGAGGGGGGATGAAGCAGGACAGAGTTCATAACTCTTGTACAAATAGGAGTAAGTAAAAGATGTATGATTCACTCCATGTAGAGTCGTAGAATTGTAGAGTTAGATGCGACCCCAAGGACCATCAAGTCCAACCCTTGATTACTTGTGAACCTCCCTATATCTAGTGTGTGTGTTTGTGTGTGTGTGTGTTGTTTTGTTTTGTTTTGCCTCTGGCAAGTGGTAGGTCAGGGAATAAGGTGGAAGGTGGTGATAGTAAGAAGGTTTGGCTTTGGTGTCAAATGAAGAAGGGAGATTCCAACTCAGCGTTAGGAAGAACTTTCTGATGGTACGATCTGTTCAACACTGGAACGGACTCCCTCTAAAGGTGGTGGATGCTAATTTTGTTGGACGGTTTTCAGCAGAGATTGGATGGCCATCTGCCAGGGATTCTGTAGCTGTGATTCCTGCATTGCAGGGGGTTGGACTAGATGACCCTCGGGGTTCCTTCCAACGCCACACTTCTATGATTCAATGATGTTGTTTAAAACATCAGGGGGGTGGTGGGGAGAACCCTGCTCTTGCACTCAGGTCCTGCTGAGTGTTTCCCACAAATATCTGCTTGGATACTGTGAAAAGAGGATGCTGGACAAGACAGGCCATTGGCCTGACCCAGCAGGCTCTTATTATGGCCTTCTGTTAGCCTTTCTTCTTCTTCTTCAAAATGCAAAATGGGAAAATTAGAGATTTCCCTATAGACTTCAGGATATTCACACCATTCTATATGTTGTTGTGCAACCCAAACCCTGCCATGTTTCTGTTCATTTGTATACATGCAGGTCCTGCTATCTGCCCACTCACTATGCTGTGCAAAAATTCACTTATCCAAACATAAAGAATTATACCTCATTATACACACCACAGATTTGGTTATTTGAAAAGCCAGTGTTTGTCCTCTTCTTTACTTCCTTACTTGTGTGTGCTTTGCTGGTTGGTGGCAGTCATTCATGGAAGGGAGTGGGGAAAGACATTGGAGAAATCCAAGAACAGGAGAGATTGGACAAATCAGTTTTACCTTTGTCTCACTTTTTCTGGTTGGCTGCAGCTGTTTCAGGTAGAAACCACTGGTGGTGGTGGGAAGAAACATTTAAAAAATAATGGATTAGAAATGTTGCCATAGAAATCAATGGAAATCATTGACTTTATGTGAATGCTTGCCTAATGAACCATTTCCAGGGAGCACATTGTGTTTGGTAAGTAAGACCTGCATGTATTCAATGAAGGGAAACCAAATGCCCTCAAATGGGTCTTTTTCCTATTGTCCATGATCACCTGTCACTTGTGGGAGAAGATCTCCAGCAAGGCTATATGTCAAATTTTAACCTACTGATGATTCAGATATGTAGATGTGAAATTCTTCCAAAATCTTGCTGTTGCCAACCAGGCCACAATAAGAAGCTGGAAAAGTTCCTTGTTCTTTAAATCCCATTTGGACCATCAAACAGATTCAATAGTACCAAGCATTAGTAACATGATGAACTTTCTGACAGTTAGAACTTATTTGACAGGGAACAGACTCCCTTGGAAGGTCTTGGGCTCTCCTTTGTTGGAAGTTTTTAAGAAGAGGTTGGATTGCCATATATCAGGGACTATTTAGCTGTGATTCCTGCACTGCATGACTATGTGGCCATTGGGATTCCTTCTAACTTTGCAATTCTATGACTCTTATAAGCTAGAGGTTACACGATTTAAGAGATTCCTATGAATACTCTCTCCCAAAAGCGCTGGACCCCTAGACAATCCCACCCCATGTGTTGATATGTGCCCAGCTGATGGCACTATCAAACACGTGGGGGAATTGCCACACTTCAAGGGCAAACTCCAGTTGATCAAAGCATCTTAGGAGGGCACAGAGGAAGGGCATAGTCTTGGGAGGCAGGGTGTGGCTTGCAGAGGTTTCTGAGGGCCAGATAAAAATGCCTGGAGGGCCATACTAAGCCCCTGGGCCTGACCCCTGTGCTACAGTGTCAGGTTGTTAAGTAGTGAAGCTCAGGGGACATATGGAGGGATGCTTTATTATGATGCCAGGGTCATAACTGAGAGTGACAGTGAATCATTAGAGTTTGACTAATACTTCTCCACAGTGGGCATGGAGACCATTTAATGCTGCCGGCTTAGACCAGCCCCTAATAGATTGATGCCTGGTTCTGCCTCCATCGCTCTGAAGGTCCCTGGACAGCGAATTCCATAACTGCTTGGGAAATTGGGGTGTGTGTGGATTTCAAATGGAAGCATCAGCCAGAAGATACCCAGAAGTGTAAGAAGAGATAAGGGGATCTGTGGTGCCCTGGTGAGAGAACCAAGCTAATGTCCAGCAAAGCTATCTCTTCACCCGGGATGATTTCCTGTTTGAATGTTCTCCCTGTAAAAGAGAAATTTGATAGCGACTGCTGAAGAGTGGGAGAGGAATAGGAGAGGCGGCGGCTGCCAAGGCCCAGCCTCATGTGACACACAGGTTTTGAGGGGCAGGTGGCAAGGCCACCCTGGGCAGAAAGAAAGGGGGAGTGGAGCCGAGCACACAAAAAGTCTTGATTTATTTTTATTTTTAAATGCTTTGTACATCTGCGTCTAATATTGCCCCTTTATAAAAGTTATGTATTGGTGTGTATTTTTCTTTTGGTAAATCTACAATACAATACAATAAGGATTAAAGGTTTTTTCCCCCCCAGGATGGTGGAGGGTGTGTGTGCTGTGTCCCGTTGGTGTATTGGTGATGGTACTCACTCCGTGGGGCAGAGGGGAACACCAAAAACAGAAGGCCAAGTAGGGTCAGTGGAGGGGAGAGTGAAAAAATGTTCCTATTTTCCCTCTTAGGAATATTGGAGGGTATGTGATTGCTGCTCTTGGAGGGGAATGGGGATATCGCAGGCATAGGCAAACTCGGCCCTCCAGATGTTTGGGACTACAACTCCCATCATCCCTGAGCACTGGTCCTGTTAGCTAGGGATAATGGGAGTTGTAGTCCCAAAACATCTGGAGGGCCAAGTTTGTCTATGCCTGGGATATCCTAGGAGTTCTCAACATCCTCAACTAACTACAGCTCCCAGAATTCTTTGGGGGAAGCCATGTAGTTTAAAGTGGTATCGTAGCACTTTAAAATGCATGGTGTGAAAATAGCATAAGAAAAGGAATAGATTAAAACTTTCCTCCCTGGACTCTTCATGATAATGATGAGTCTGATCTCAGTGGAACCCAGAGTAGTCCCCAACATACCATAATACAATGAAACTCAACATTTTTTTAAACCACACATGCACACGCCTGGTTGAAGATAGATGTTCTTAACTGCTGTCTAAAGACCATCAAGGTGGGGGTTCAGTCACACTTCCCAAGGGAGGGAGTTTCCTATCTGAACACCCACTGAGACATTCCTAGCCATAGCTGTCAACATTTCCCCTTTTTAAAGGGAAATTCCCTTATTCCAAATAGGATTCCTTGCAAGCAAAGGGAAAAGTTGACAGCTATGTTCCTATCTCAGGCATTAAAAGAGAAGATGATGAACTATCACTGGTGGGGAAATCACAAGCAAGGCTTCCCGCACTGATCATTAAGGTTAGTAGGTATTTGTGGACCATTCTTCTCTTTTACTGCCTCTCTCTCTCTATGATTCAGAACTGTGATGTCTCACCTGGCGTTTGAAACCATACATCCATCGCCCAATAGGCTGAATTGCTACAACAACTTGTGTGGTGTTGTTTCATTTTATTGGAAATTCACAATAACCTATTTCTGGGATCAGAACACTGACCTGAGAGTATGAAGAAGCAATATTTTTCACTCCCATAAATGAAGATCATGGGTACCTTCAGTGTCTTCTCTTTTAGAGCTTGGAGCAGCAACAGGAAGGGCTGTTACTGAGTAACATGCTTTGTATGCAGGCGGTATCATGTTCTACTCCTGAAATCTCCAAGCAGGGGCCAGGAAAAGGCAGCTAGTTGGAATCCTGGAGAGATGCTGCCTGTCAGTGCAGACATTACTGAGCTAGATGACTTGGTACAAAGTAGCCTCCTGTGTCTTGTTAGGAGCACCCATAGCTTAGTGGTGGAGCATCTGCCTTGCGTGCAGAAGATTCCCAGGTTCCATCACTCAGCCTGGACAACTCAGTTGGGCTAGAGTATGATGCTGATAATACCAAGGCTACAAGTTTGATCCTTGTATGAGGCAACTGCATGTTCCTCAATTCCAGGGGGTTGGACTAGATGATCCTCAGGATCCCTTCCAACTCTACAATTCTATGATTCTATGTCTCCAGGTAGGGCTGAGAAGGTCTTTTGTCCAAAAGCCAGAAGAGCCACTGCAAGTCGGTGTGGAGAATATAGTGTAGGAAAAGAGCTAAAAGGACCAGTGATCTAAGGTATCCACACTTACCCTTTGCCCCACCGTTCCCAGGCACAAGTTTGTGCTTAAAAGCTCAGTGTCCATGGATTGCTGTTTGCTCCGATTGAGCTTTAAAGAGTGTCTTTTTTGCAGGGAAAGCTCTGGGGCAAAAAAAAGGGGGGGGATGCTCAGACATGGAGCTTTAAAGCATGGATCATGCCTAGCAAGAGCAGAGGGAAAGTAAGTGTGGATAAGTCCTCAGTGTAATGCAAATCACAAACTCATTACACCAACCAATAGTGTTAATAGGATGGAAGTTCCCAAGGGGTGGAAAGAGCAGACTAATTCAGCAGCCTAGAACACAGGAAGCTGGCTTATAATAAGTCAGACCATTGATCCATCTAGCTTAGCGCTGCCTGCACTGAGTGGCAGTAGCGCTCCTTGGTTCTGGAGATGAGCCTTTCCCAGCCCTACCCTGGAGTTGCCAGGGGTAGAATCTATTCTTAAGTGGTCCCTGTCTAACCCAGTGTGGACAGCACCAAACTGAAAAAGGTCTCAACATCCTGTAAATGTAGCAGTTCTTCAAAAGCTAAACTAGAGGCTTAGTGTGGGCAGCAGGTCATTCCATTGCAGCACCTCATTGACCTAACACAGCACAGTACATTCAGTCACTGGATAGTGCTGGTGGGAGAGGTAGAAGTCAGGGTTGTGTGATGGAAACACAAGCAGGGGGGTTTGTTTTCCATAACTGCTTCTGATGAGGAGGTGTCAGATTGAGAGCTCAGCAGAAAGTTTGGCCCAGTGCTTGGGGTCATGGTGTAGAATTGGGTGGGTACAAATTGAATGCCTTCAAAAGAGGATTGGACAAATTCATGGTGGAGAATTCTATTGATGGCTACTGGCCATGATGGCTATGCTCTGCCTCTGTGGTCGGAGACAGGAAGGCTTCTGAATTTCAGTTGCTGGAAAACACAGGAGGGGAGAGTGGCCTTGTACACAGTTCCTGTTTGTGGGTTTCCTACAGCTAGGCTTGCCATACGTCCTGGTTTTGACATGTCCTGGTTTTGGGGTGTAAAAACTGTTGGGGGGAATTTGCCGAATCCGCAAAATGTCAGGGAAAACCCGGATGTATGGCAATACAGTGGTACCTCGGGTTACATATACTTCAGGTTACATACGCTTCAGGTTACAGACTCCGCTAACACCCAGAAATAGTGCTTCAAGTTAAGAGCTTTGCTTCAGGATGAGAACAGAAATCGTGCTCCGGCGGCTCAGCAGCAGCAGGCAACCCCATTAGCTAAAGTGGTGCTTCAGGTTAAGAACAGTTTCAGGTTAAGTACGGACCTCCGGAACGAATTAAGTACTTAACCCGAGGTACCACTGTAGAATGGAAAAAGCAGTGAAAACAGCTCCAAAAGTTTAACATCACTATTGGGGGGGGTAGGTTTTGGGGGGAGCTCAACCATCTTGGTATCTTCCTAAAAAAACAACAGCTCAACACCTTAGCGGGTGTCAGGAATTTGACTTTTGCTTTTTGAAATATGGCAACCCTACCTACAGCAATCTGGTTGGCTGCTGTCAGAAGAGGATACTGGACTAGATGGGCCACTGACCTGATCAAGCAGACCTCTTCTTATCTTCTTAATACAGATGATGGTGGTGGTGGAAGGTCCCTGGAACTCCAGGGCAGGCAAATTGATGCTGCAGTTATGCTTCCAGCTCTCAAAGTGACGAGTAATGTCTCAAGGTAAATCTTGTTAACGCTCAGAACTTCTGAAACACCTTTTTGCTTTTTATGCAGCCTTTTGCGGTACATGCCAGGCTCAAAGCTGTGTCAAATCTCCTGGTTTAATTTACTCCCAGGAGTGCAAGAGCGGAAGAGCCTCATCTGTAAACAGAGAAACACCTCCAAGCTAAGTTAGGGTCCAGCTGCTAGCCGACTGGGGTTTTAATGCAGCCTGGCAGCAGGAGGAGAGTGGTTATCTCAGTGGTTCATTAAAGTCTCCATGGACTGAGGAAAGCTTGAGGAAATTGCTAGGTTGCTTTGAGAGCTGGAAGGAAAATGGACACCCGTTTGGAAGCTGAAAGGCAATATCTTCCCCACTGCGACTCTTTCAAGCTCCTGGGCAGCAGTTCCCAGGGGGAAGGTCTTTTGGTGGAACAGCGGCAAATGCCATATCTCATTAAAGGCAGAGCATTAAAGCAACAATTATCCCAAGCAGCCGAAGGCATGGCCATGAAAGAACATAAGAAGAGCCTGCTGGATCAGGCCAATGACCCATTTAGTCCAGCATCCTGTTCTCACAGTGGCCAACCATATGGGTAACCTAGAAGCAGGATTCAAGCACAAAAGCCCTCTCCCCTCCTGCTGCTTCCAGCAACTGGTATTCAGTTTTACTGCCTCCAAGCATGGAGGCTGAGCAAAGCCATCAGGACACCCAAGCCAGCCCTCATGGCAAAATGGCCAAGCTGCATTTCCATGTCTTCCAGAACTGCACGCCTTCTCTGAAAAGACACACATTTGCATTCTCTAGAGCTGCCTTATGGTTTCTTCTTCTTATAATAATAATAAATTTTATTTATACCCCGCCCTCCTGGCCAGAGCTGGGCTCAGGGCAGCCAAAACCAGTAAAATTACAGTAAAAACATAATAAGGGGGGGGGCAATTTAAAATATAGGTTAAAATGTAATTTAGAATGCAGCCTCATTTTGAAAGTAGCCCATAGATTAAAACCATAAAGGGAGGGAAACATAAGGGTCAGACCAAGTCCAAACCAAAGGCCAGGCGGAACAGCTCTGTCTTGCAGGCCCTGCGGAAAGATGTTGAGTCGCGCAGGGCCCTACTCTCTTGTGACAGAGCGTTCCACCACGTTGGGGCCAGTGCTGAAAAGGCCCTGGCCCTAGTTGAAACCAATCTAACCTCCTTGAGGACCTCCAAAGTGTTGTTATTTGTGGACCTGAAGGTCCTCTGTGGGGCATACCAGGAGAGGCGGTCCCATTGGTACATGGGTCCTAGACCACATAGGGCTTTAAAGGTCAAAACCAGCACCTTAAACCTGACCCTGTACTCCACCGGGAGCCAGTGCAGGAAATGGTTTGCAAACACATCACCCGCTTTCCCCGCCACCTCTGTTCTTTCTCTTACTGATTTTAAGGCCATATTATGAGGGCAAACCACAAACCCATCTCCCAGTTCACTATCTGATACAGAGGGGCCAAGGCATTTTAGTTGGGCTGCAGTTTGACTCCTTCAGTAGTTCTGGAAGGGAGAAGAGGGTAATGCTATCCCTTCTACTATCCCTTCTAGAGGCATTCAAGGGAGAATGAGTGATACCAGGCAGACTTCCACTGTTGTGAATATGTCACTGAGGCCATCAACACAACTGGTGGCTTAGGGGGAGGAGGCAGCAATGCTTCTGAATCCCAATTACTGGAGGGGAGAGTGCTCTTGTATTCGGGTCTTGCTTGTGGGCTTCCCAGAAGAGGCGTCTGGTTGGCCACTGAGAGAACAGGATGCTAGACTAAATAATCACTCAGCCTGATCCAGCAGGGCTTTTCCTTAGTGTGAGCAGCCCCTCACTGCCATTATAAGCCCTTTCTCCAAAACTGAACCCTTAGGAATACTAGAAGAGCTCTGCTGGATCTGGCCAAAGGCTTATCTAGCCCAACATCCTGTTCTCACAATGGCCAACCAGATGTCTATTGCAGGAGAGTAACTACTACTGGTAGCTCAGCTTGTGGTCCTCCACATGTTGGACTACCAGATGTTTTTGGACTACATTTCCCATCATTCCCTGACCAATCGCCATGCTGGCAAGAGCTGATGGGAGTTGGGAGTCCCTGTGCCCTGTAGTAGCGCAAAACCACACCTTTGATTTCTGCTTTGTGTTTTTAAAACTATCTGAGAAAACTGAGCAAGGAGGGTGCAATTTGCAGTGGAGAGACCCTTCTCCTGTCTGCCATTACCCCTTCTGCAAATCCTACCCTCCACCTTCCAAATGTTTTCCACCCAGAAGGGATTTGCAATGTAAATATAGGGCTGGAGGGAATTGCAGAGGATAGAGTTAAACACTCTCCTTTTGCTCAAAACTCCAATCTTGCAAATTGTTCCCTCCTGGCTGAGACTGGCATAGGCAGCTGCCAGACTTTAAAGGCATGAGGCTGAGATGGAACGTGTCATTCCTCCCTCAGCTTTGGAAACAAATAGAGGATTTTATGGACAGTTGCTGATCTGGCTGGCTGCGCCTGGCATTATGTTCAATTAAAGCGATAAAAAGGCAAAGTGTGCTGCTGTAAAAAATATATTAATGTATGTGTTTCCAGAAGGGAAGAGGAAGAGAGGAGAGGCTATCAAAATGTTGATGAGAGACCAACAATTATATTTGATAGTGGGACCCCAGTCAATCTGGCACATCTTGTCATTCAGTCCTAGTAACCTGCTCCCAACAGTGGGCAGCAGATGTGTCTAGGAAGTTCACAAGTAGAATATGAAGACGGAAGTCGTCTTGCCCACAGCATCTGGTATGCTGCTCCTGTTTATGGAAGTGATGTTGTTGTTGATGATGATGATGATGATGTTGAGTTCTATCCAACCAAGTTCAAATCGGAGTAGAAGAATTGAAATTAATGGACATGTTCATAGAATCATAGAATGACAGAATGTTACTGAATGTTACTGGGCATGTTAGTAAATTCCATTTATTTAAATGATTCTGCTCTGATTAGAATTTTGTATTAGTGCTAGTTATATAGTTGCTTTATATAGGGCAATCTCTAGGTCAGGGATGCCCAACAGCGATTGCTGTGAAAGAAAAGAAAAGCAGTGAAAGGCTCTGCCCCCCTGTGCTTTCTCTGTGTTTCAGTGTTGCGTCAAATGGGCATTAATTTTTTTCTATTTGTGGTGGCGAGTTCTGTTACTGGAATCTGGTTGTTTACAGTAGCAACGCTGTATTAGGTGAGTGATTCCCCCCTAAAAAGAGCTCAACAACTTTGCCCCCCCCCCCAATATAGGCTTTCTCCCCCCTAAAAAAAGCTCTGGAACAGTGTTTTTATACTGGGAGTAGATCGCGGTCTCTTGGGAGTTGGACATGCCTGCTCTAGGTGATTTACAACTAAGTTTTAAAAGAACTTTAAAAAAGGAACTATCACCAAATCATCATAACAATATAAAACATTGTGGTAACTGGGTGGGCTCAGGGAGTGGTGTCATGACTAAGAGCACATCCCATAAGGGCATAGGAAGTCTAGCATCCTGTTCTCACAGTGGCCACTCTGTGTTGGGAAGCCTGCAAGCCGGATTCAAGCACAAGAGCGCTCTTCCCCTCCTGTGGCTTCCAGATACTGGTATTCAGAAGCATTACTGCCTCTGCTTCTGAGCTATCCAGTTTGCATCAAAAGGTAATTTTATCAACTTTGCACTTTCCAAAACAGCATGAGAACTGAAACACAGGCATCCTTCAAAACCTGCATGTATCTTAATTTTGCAATACCGTGTTCCAACCAAATAATGTCTGAAAAAATGCATATATTAGGGGAAAGCATGCATACAGATGGAGATACAGTGGTACCTTGGGTTAAGAACTTAATTCGTTCTGGAGGCCCATTCTTAACCTGAAACTGTTCTTAACCTGAAGCACCACTTTAGCTAATGGGGTCTCCCGCTGTCGCTGCACTGCCAAAGCACGATTTCTGTTCTCATCCTGAAGCAAAGTTCTTAACCCGAGGCACTATTTCTGGGTTAGCAGAGTCTATAACCTGAAGCGTCTGTAACCTGAAGTGTCTGTAACCCGAGGTACCACTGTATCTGTGAAAAACAACTTTCAAAATGCACTATATCACTTGCAAAAATCTGCCAGTTTGTCAAAACAAAATTCAGACAAAAAAATCTATTCATTAGGAGAAATTTGCACCGAAAAGCCAATGAATTTTCAGGAGGATTTTTTTTAAAAAAAGAAATTTCACAAATGGCTGCAGAAATATGAAAAAGTAAATTTAAGGCTGTAGAGATGGAAAACTGAGAGAACTGAAATGTTCCCTAATCTGGATCAGAGGTCCGAATCCAGAACTTTTTTTGCTGAAAATACTAAGCTTTGTGCTGAAAAGTCCTAGCAACCCCCTTGAAAATCCTACTCTTTTTTTCAAATTATTATTATTTTCTTCCCTGATAGCTAGGGAGCTCTGATGGCCTTGGCAAATTCTCTGGTGGTCAGTGGTTCTGCTCTCGTAGCCCCTGACTGTAGTTACCTTCTCTGGAGCCCCATTCCTAGCAGTGTTATGTTCTGTACGTGTCTGAGTCACCTGTTATTCCTCCAGACTACCCGACCTAACAAAACAACTTGAAGGAGAGCAAGAAAATAAAGAGTCCGTTGCAGCTATCATTACCCAAACAGCTTGGCAGCAGTCATCTCAGTGACTCACGCTAACAAAGGTGACCTTGGCTTTTATTATATGAGATTGCCAGCATCCGCATCTCTGAGCCTTTGATTGATACTTGTGATGCGTCTTGGCAGAAGGGACCATGGTGCTTCCTAAGAGGCATCTCTGCTTGCTGGCATTTGCAGGGATCTCAGCTACTACTACCAACATCACCCAGTTGCCTAGGTGGTGTAGGTATTAGTCATTGCCAGGGCTGTTGGGAACTTATTATTAGGTATCATATCATAGAATTATAGTTGGAAGGGACCACAAGGAGCATCTAATCCACTTCCTGCAATGCAATAATCTTTTGCCCAATGTGGGGCTCGAACTCACAACTTTGAGATTATGTGTCATGTGCTCAACTGACTGAGCTATCTGGGCAACTCTATGGTTCTTCCTCTTCTTCCTCTTCTTGTTACAGTTTATCATCCACCCTTCACCCTAAGATCCCAGGGCAGGTCACAGCAATTAAAACACAGCACGGATATAGAAACACAATATTATACCATATTAAAAACAGTTACAAAAATGAAAATTAAAAGAAATAAGGTGGGTCACAGAATCATGGAGTTGGAAGGGATCACAAGGGTCATTGAGTCCAACCCCCTTGTAATACAGGCGTCACAGCTAAAGGAGCTTTGAAAGATGGCTATACAACCTTTGTTTAGAAACTTTCTGTGAAGGATAGTCCACCACCTTCCAAGGGTCCTAGAGATATCCATCTCAGGTGCATCTTCAGCATTTGCTGAAAGCTGAATTACAAAGGTGCCAGACATACCTCTCCTGAGCCATCATCACCCTGAGCTTCTGATGGTTGAAGAGCTACCAAGAGGGCCCCCTCTGCCAATCTTAGCACTTGGGAGGCTCTGTGGGGAAGGAGGAGGTCTCTCGGGTATTTGGGGCCTGAGTCATTTAGACAAATCATCGTTTAGACAAATGGTTATTAGAGAAAGTCATTAGACCAATTCAAGGACGTAAAGGCTATCAGTGGTTACTAGTCATGGTGATGATACTTTGGCTGGAGGCTGTATACTTATGATAACCAGTTGCTGGAAACCACAGAAAAGGATGATACTACTACTACTACTAATATATTATTTATACCCTACCCATCTGGCTGGGTTTTCCCAGCCACTCTGGGCGGCTTCCAACAAAATATTAAAATACAGTGGTCTGTTAAACATTAAAAGCTTCCCTAAACAGGGCTGCCTTCAGATGTCTTCTAAAAGTCTGGTAGTTGTTGTTCTCTTTGACATCTGGTGGGAGGGCGTTCCACAGGGTGGGTGCCACTAGCGAGAAGGCCCTCTGCCTGGTTCCCTGTAGCTTGGCTTCTCGCAGTGAGGGAACCACCAGAAGGCCCTCAGAGATGGATCTCAGTGTCCTGGCAGAACGATGGGGGTGGAGATGCCCCTTCAGTTATACTGGAGTGCTCTTGCACTTGGGTCCTGATTGTGGGCTTCTTACAATTAATCACTGCTGCTGACCTTTCCTTTCACTCTCTTCTGCACCTGTGTAACAGGACAGGGAGCTATCAGTTACAACCGAAAGAAAATTTTCACCAGTTGCAAACAACACTTCCTTTCTTCAGTGACTTTTCCCCAGCACACATTGCAAGAAGAGGAAAAAAGGTGGTAGACTGAGGTTGACATCACTCACCATGGCCCTCAATTACCCTAAACCATTGCCCTTACTTGCCTTCAGTATGTCATAATGCAGGCAGCTCCAGCTGACTATACAGTGTTGTGATGGCCAAGTGGGTGGAACTATCAATGTGACTAATGCAAGAAGGCATAAGAAGCAGCTATAAAAGTTGTGCACAGGAGGCAGTGCATCAGTCTCATAATCTGAAGGTCCCAAGTTTGAGCTTGAGAGAAGGTAGCTTACAGCTGTCTTAATTTTGAGTGTTGCGGTGCATTGGGCTAGGACCAGGAGAGACCAGGATTCAAATCCCCACTCAGCCATGAAGCTCACTGGTTGACCTTTGGGGGGTGCTCACTGCCTCTCAGCCTAACCTACCTCACAGGGTTGTTGTGGGAATTAAATGAGGGGTATATGTCACCTTGAGCTCCTTGGAGAAATGGGTTGGTATATAAATGCAGTAAATAAATAAAATAAGTATCATCTGAAAAAGAGAGAGGAAATAATGGCAGTGAAGGGGAATAGATTTTTGAGGGGTGGGTAACAATTTGATCCAACTGAAATGGCTAGCTTCTACCTGAAAACCTAAGCAGTAGAAGATTGGGCAATGCTCTAGTGCTCTCTGGGACTGAGATTGCTCCAATTGTCTGTGTTAAGCTGATCATATAGTATCGCTGATGGCCCAGAGAGGAGTTAATCAACATGAATGACTCTTGCCGACGGTGGCCCTCTGCAGCAAGACAAAGAAAGACACAAGTAGCAAAATAGCTGTTCTCTATTATGACACTTCTCTGCCTGAATGGCACAGGAAATATCCTCGGAAGTTAAGGCATGTCACAACAGCCATCAGCTGCAGAGGGTGACTGGTTTGAAGCTGCGAAGTGTGATACCTGCTTCCTCTGAGCTAACCCTGTCTTGGATTTCTCCTTCTTACGAAATGTGGGGGAATCAAGTCTGGGACGCACTGCCAAAGAAGGGTTTTCCTTTTCTTTCTTTCTTTCTTTCTTTCTTTCTTTCTTTCTTTCTTTCTTTCTTTCATTCTTTTTGACTTTCTTCTTTTTTAGACTAAGCGGCCATTTTATCTTAGAATATTATAAAAAAGATACGTTGTAATGGGTTTGTATTTTTGTATAGCTATGAATTAATATCAATAAATAAGTTTTTAAAAATATATGAGTTTGACCAAACTGCGGGAGCCAGTGGAAGACAGGCGTGCTTGGAGTGCTCTGGTCCATGGGGTCACGAAGAGTCGGACACGACTAAACGACTAAACAACAACATGGGACCCTCTGTCTATACTCATCTATGAAGAATCCCTCTTGGAACAATTTGTAGAGGACAAGGTCTAGGCCCCCATAGACAGTACACCTACAACCCCCATGCCCCAGCAAGGCTGGATGCAGGGTTTGAACTCACAGGGTCCATTACAAACAGAAGCACAGATGATGTGTTTATGCCACAAAGCAACACTTGGGGGCTCAGGATCAAACTAAAACTAGAATTAAGTCTTCTTTGCTTTTCCTTCGACTGGCAGGCTAAGACCCTCCTGTTCAGACACGCCTTTGGAAACGAAGGTGCAGATGATGCTGAGTACCACTGTATATAATTTTTGCATTTTATAATGATGTTTTAAAATAGAATCCTAGACCTGCAGAGTTCAAATGGACCCCAAGTGTCATCCAGTCCAGCCCACAGCATTGCAGGAATCACAGCTCAAGGCAGATGGCTATCCAACCCCTGTTTAAATACCTCTCATGAAGAAGAGCCCAGCACCCTCCAAAGGCCATCTATTCCATTGTCAAACAGCTCTTACTGCCAGAAAGTTATTCTTAATGCTTAGCTGTGATTTCATTTTTTTTTATTCCATTGGTTCAGACCCTGCACTGCAGCAGCAGCAGCAGCAGAAAAGAAGCTTTCTCCATCTTCCATGGCACAACCCTTTAGATATCTGAAGATAGCTCTCATATCATCTACCAGTCTTCATTTCTCCAGGCTAAACATACCCAGCTCCTTTGGCCGTTCCTCATTAGCAGCAGAAAATAAATGGTGGAAGCCACATTGAATCCCAGCTTGCGAGAAAGGCATGATAAGAATGTTAGATAAATAAATAAGTAACAAATTATACTTCAATGCAATGACGTATTTTGAATTTTTTTAACCCACCCTGGGACCTTAGGATGAAGGGTAGATAAGAACTTAGAATAATAAGTTAAAAAATTATCATTATGAAATAAAACAATAGACAAAAACCAACCTCTCCCACCTTTAAAATGCCCCATTTTCATGAGGACAGACAGGCTGGTGTCACCACAATGGACCAGCCTCCACTGTTGATGGCCCAAGTAGAAGCTTGGACATCCCTTCCCACTTGGGTCTAGGTGCTTGTAGAGGGGAGGGTTGGTTCACTCACTGCATATTCAAGATTTCTTTTGCTTCCAGTATACATCTCCATTCTCCCTTTATTTTTATTTCCTCTACAGGTCTGGCCGTCCATCAGATTATCACCATCACCGTCTCCCTCATCATGGTCATTGCTGCTCTGATAACGACGCTCGTCTTAAAAAATTGGTAAGGATCTTCCACCACATGAGTTTGGCCTGTATGTGGGTTGAAAGGAGGGAACTGTGTAGCAGGATACTGGGCTATTGGCAAGTCAATTGCAACCTGAACCTTAGCCAGTGGTATGGAAAGCAAGTCCTGTGAATAAAATTTGATGAGACTTGGGCTGTTTAATTTGAAGAAGACTAAGAAGGCTTTCAAAGAGGATTGGACAAATTCATGGAGGACAAAGCTGTCAAAGGCTACTAGCTATGATGGTCATATCCTACTTCTACTGTCACAGATAGAAATGCTTCTGTATTGCAGTTGCAGGAAAATGAGGAAGGGGAGAGTGCTTTTGTGCTTAGGTCATGATGGTGCGCTTCCTCTGGGTGGCCACTGTGAGAACAGGATGCTGGACTAGATGGGCCATTCACCTGATCCAGCAGGCCCATCTGATTTTCTTAAGAGACAGTGCAAAAATCTGGACCAGGACATGGTTTCTTCATTATTTCTCTGCTAAGTCGTTGATTTTCCTCCTAGTCTTTGACCACCCTTCAGCATCAACCTGCATGGAATTGTGGGGTGGACTCCTCCTCTCTTTGGGTGGTCAGAACACCTTCTTCCCTTTGATTTGATTTCCTGAAGACCCATATGGGCAATCTGAGGAATGTAGACCTCGTGCAGCCCTTGACTGACTTCAGGGTGGCCTCCACGACCCATTCTACACTCCCCACTGCCCAGATGATTGACTGAAGTCCTCAGATGGGAACGCTCCTCAGCTGTCCTCAGTGCCAATTAACTGGGCAGAGCAGCTGATGGGGAGATTGTTACAGACTAAGACACTGAGAACCCACTGCATGCCTCCTCCTTGACCACTGTTCCCAGAGCTGATATGGTGGGCAGTGTGGTGGGAAGGATAGACTCTCTCTACTGCCATGCAGGAGTGGAGAGCAAGGGTGGGTGTTTTTGGTGGTGAGGTGGCTGTTTGTATGTGTGTTAGCAAGAACTTTCTGATAGTAAGAGTAGTGGAAAGGTGGTGAACTCTCCTTCACCATCAGCTGGGAGCCAGCGTGGTGTAGTGGTTAGGAGCAGTGGACTCGTAATCTGGTGAACCGGGTTCGCTTCCCCGCTCCTCCACATGCAGCTGCTGGTTGACCTTGGGCTAGTCACACTTCTCTGATGTCTCTCAGCCCCACTCACCTCACAGAGTGTTTGTTGTGGGGGAGGAAGGGAAAGGAGATTGTTAGCCGCTTTGAGACTCCTTAAGGGGAGTGAAAGGTGAGATATCAAGTCCAAACTCCTCCTCCTCGTCTTCTTTTTTATTGAAGGTTTTTAAACAGAGTTTGGGTGGACATCTGTCAGGGATTCCTTAGCTGTGATTTCCACCTTGCAGGGTGTTGGACTAGCTAAGCCTTCTCCCCCCCAAAAAACAACAACACACTGCCTAGTGACCTCTTCCAACTCTACGGTTCTATGAGGTCTATTATTTTGGGCAAAGCAGACATAGTAACACAGCTGGCCTTGTCTTGGAGCGCTGGCAAAGGCTTGCTTATCATTACAAAAATATGAGGGAGGATGGCACATGACAGGAATGCAGATGAGCAAAGGGACCCATGGAGGAGCTACAGTAGCTAGAAATGTAAAGGGCAACGCCCTGTGTCAGGAACAAGGTGTGTGTCAATCTTACTTCCCTAAGAGCAATCTTTTTTTTATGGCACCTCCTCACTGGGGTGGAGCAAAATATCCATATGTGCCTGATTCAATGCTGGAGGCAAAATGACTCATTTCCTGTTTGGGAAGAAGCAAGACCAGAGCTGTGACTCATGCAGAGACACAGGGAGCAGCATCCTCCAAGGACAGATTATCCTCCCTCCCTTGCTGCTTTGCCCTATATTTCTGTTACAATTGCCCCATCTTTCTTTTGCAAGATTCAGTCTCCTCTGAGCTTCTAATGAGTTCAGGGAAAATGTACCCAGTTTTTAAAAAATTATTTATTTATGCATTTCCCCAATCAGTTAATGGAAATGACCGCACTCAAGCGGAGAGCCCCCCCCTCCACCTAAATGCCTTGCAAGGACTAGACTGTTTTACATGCCTCACATCTCCAAGCTTTTTTGTTTTCATCCAGCCTCATTTGCAGGCCTTTCTTCTCTGACATCCACTATGCATATAGTAAAATGGGTTACGTCTTAGCTCCAGGCACTGCTGCCGTTACCTATTTTCCTAGTCAATCTGACCTACTTTGAGGTCAGCCTTACTCACTCTAATAATGTGATGCACCTTTGGGAGAAAGAAATGAGTTAGAAGGTTGTGCAGCTTTCCTTCTCTCAAAGGCTGCTCCCAGGCCTCTTCCCTGCTTGAAAAATATGTTCCCTAATAGCTTCAAACCTGTGGCATTCCGTGGCATAATTTGTCCCGGTTGTTCTGACACTCACCTCAAGTGATGGGGGCTGAATCAGATGAAGAGACTGCAAGTAAATTGGAAAAGTCATCCAGGAAGATCGCTCTCCATTGCCCCATCTGCCCCCATCGGGCTTGTCAAAAGGGATTAAGGAGAATTCCCGGGGTGAAACATGCCAGCATTTTCACCAAAACCATCTTCCAAATCAAAGGCATCTGTGAGCTCAAATCCTACTTGGGTGTTATAAGGAAAGCAGCAGCAGGAAAAAACAACCAACCAACTGAATTAAAACGTCGCTTTGTGCTCTTAGAACATTGCCACATATAAGTTCCCTGAGGCCTGAATTTTGGGCCCCACAGTTTAAGAAGAAGATGAACAAGCTGGAAGGTGTGCAGAGGAGGGCAACCAAGATGAACAAGGGCCTGGAAACCGAGCCTTATGAGGAATGGTTGAAGGAGATGGGGATGTTTAGCCTGGAGAAGAGAAGACTGAGAGGTGATATGAGAGCCATCTGCACATAACTGAAGGGCTGCCATATGCAGGATGGAGCAAGCTTGTTTGCTGCTGCTCCAGAAGGTAGAACCCAAACTACTGAATTCAAATTACAACAAAGGTGATCCCGATTAAACATTAGGAAGAACTTTCTGGTGGTGAGAGCTGTTCACCAGTGGGATGTTCTCTCTTGAAAGGTGGTGGACTCTCCTTCATTGGAAGTTTTTAAAGAGAGGTTGGATGGCCACCTGTCAGGGATTCCTTAGCTGTGATTCCTGCATCACAGAGGGTTGGGCTCGATGACCTTTGGAGTTCAGCCCAACTCTATAGTTTTATGATTCTACAGATCAAATCCTTCTCAGCCATGAAGCTAACTTGGGTCAGTCACTAGGACTCATATCCAATGCTGTCACTCTGCTCATGCAACAGACCCCTGCTTGCAAAGTGTAACTCCCCACTCCTCTCCCATGCCCTCCAGTGTTTCTCTGATGAAAACAGGGACATCCCACTCCGTAATGTTAATTTCACTATTTATGCCCCACACATCTTACTGGGTTGCCCCAGCCACTCTGGGCAGCTTCCAACCTATATAAAAACACAATAAAACAATTCAGAAACCGGGATGGCTTCACTAAATCAGGGACGTCCCTGGAAAATAGGGAGACTTGGAGGGTCTGCTCACCTTTCCCATGCAGCCTCCTGCCTACAATCTCATATTCTGCACCGGAGGTTTGGATATCTGTTTGGAGAAGATTCTGGATGGGGGAGAAAACAGGAAGGGTAAGGTGCACTGCAAGAGTGGAAGGCTACTCACACAGGACTGGCTGCCACCAAATAGCTCATAATAATCTACCTTGCATGGGGACGCGGGTGGCGCTGTGGTCTAAACCACAGAGCCTAGGGCTTGCCGATCAGAAGGTCAGCGGTTTGAATCCCCATGACGGGATGAGCTCCCGTTGCTCGGTCCCTGCTCCTGCCAACCTAGCAGTTTGAAAGCACGTCAAAGTGCAAGTAGATAAAGTGAAGTTGTACGCCGGCTCCCTTGGCCGATAAAGTGAGATGAGTTCCACAACCTCAGAGTTGGCCATGACTGGACCTAATGGTCAGGGGTCCCTTTACCTTTACTAATCTACCTTGCAGGAGTGTTAGGAGGATAAAATGTGGAGAGGGAAAACCATTTCCACACACCCTGCACAAGCATCATGGAGGGAGAGTGGAATATAATTTTTTAAGAATCAGTGCTTGGGATGTAGTAGGTCAGCTGAATGCAGTTAGAAGCTTCAGTTTGACCGGGAACTGGTTTTATGTAGTATCTGATTATGTAATGTATCCAATTTTATGGAACATTACATGCAACATTATATGCAACTATATCTATATTTATATCTATATATTAAGCGATTAAGTCCCATAAGTCACTTTAATTCTGCAACATGATTTTACAGCTATGGATACACAGAGGTATTTGTGCAAAGTAATTAGCATTGTTTGTTTTGTGAATCTGTTTACGTGTTGTTTATCTTAGAAAATCTGGCGAGTGGGTGTGTATATAAAAAATATGCTATAATATTAGGAATGATAATGCATATAATAGCGTAGATAACGTGCAAGAATTGTTTGCCATTTTAGCAAAGCTAGTAACAACAATTCTCTTCTTGGCCAAATCAAGGAGTGAGACAGAAAATGGGGGGAAATCCATGTTTTGTTGGGGATTTAAATTTGTTTGTTTATTTGCTTGCTTGCTCGTTTATTTTAGTAATTGGTTTTATACTTGTAAGCCACCTTGGGCAAAAAAGCAGTACAGTCGAGTCACATCTAATGCACATTGAACTTATGCAATTTCAACTATGCAAACTCTGTTGCAACTCCATTCCAGGAGCCATTCCAGCCTTTTTCTTTGGCCCTTTGGGACATGTCTGCCTTCCTCTCTCTGCTTCCCTCCCTCCTCCCTTCTACCATTCACTCACAGGTGGAGGAGTGAGGGGAAGCAGCAGAGACACCGAAAAAGGTCTCCCCATGGGGCTTCCCCACACCTGCCAGCCAGAAAAGGGTAATTTGGGCTGCATGCAATTTTTTCATATGTGCACTATCCTTGGAATGTAATCCCAGTATACGATGTGGCTCAAATGTATGCAAAAATATTATTATTTAATTCACATTTAAATTTTCAGGAAAGCCCATCTCTGTGTATATGCACGAACACAATGACCGCTTTTTGACACTATTTTAGGGATGCTTCACTAGCATGATGCAGGGTGCAGGGAGATAAGTGGAAGAAATCAAACTTTGGTGTATGCTGTGGAAGTAATTTTAGATTTTTCCAAATTTTTAGATATTTTCCCACTTAAAACAGAAAACAGGAAGAGTTAAATGCAATGCAATGCCAAGCAAGCCAGGGTAAAGCATAATGAATAATAACAAAGGGGAGTTAATTGCCTCACAATTTTTTTTAAAAGGGGCAGACTTTGAGTTTATCATGAGTGGCAAGATGTATCCTGCATTCTGAAAGATCCTGGTGAATACCAAATCCACGGTGCTTTCTTCCCTGCGCACGTCAGGCCTGTGATTTTCCCCTTCCTTATTAAGGCCTCCATTTAAAATTCAAATTTGATTATGCTAGATAAATACATACACACAAAAAATAGTTCTGAAACCTGATCACTTGGTAGAGGCCAACGTTACTCAGATACTGGAGGATAATAATTAAATTTGAAATTGCAGGTATAATTAGCAGGAGATAATAGAGTTTTCTCTCTCAGGAGTCCAAGTTGCTGTTCTTTCATAACTGGTATCTTTCTTCCTTATTTATTTAGATTTTGTTTTTAATCCACCTTTTCCTCCAACAAACTTACAGTAGTACATTATGACTGGCCCAAAGTCACTTATTAAACATTGTGGCTGTCTGGAGATTTAATTCCTGCGTTGCGGTGGATTGGAGGTGATGACCCCTAGAGTCCCTCCCACCTCTACAATGGTATGGTTCTAACTGGAAGAGCCAGTTGACGGACTAGGTCCTGAACTCCCTTGACAACTTTAAAGGGAGTTTGCCTTTTAGTCAAATGGTCTAGTGTTCTGAGGGTCTCCTTTACTGAACATGTAACACAAGTAATTCCTTATGAGAACATAAGGAAGGCATTCTAGATCAGGCCAATGGTCGCCTAGTAATAGAATGAATCTCAGCTAAAGAATCCCTGTCAGATGGCCACCCAACCTCTGCTTAAAAAATATCCAATGTAGGAGAGTTCACCACCTTCCGAGAGAAAAGGTTCCAGTGTTGAACCACTCTAACCACAAGAAAGGGAGTCCATTCCACTGTCAAACATCTCTTACAATCAATATGTTCTTCCTAATGTTTAGTTGGAACTTATTTTGTAGTAATTTGAATCCATTGATTCGGGTCCTACCCTCCGGAGCATCTTTTTCTCGCAGTGACCTTCCAGATACTTGTGGGAAACCTGCAAGCTGGACCCAAGCCTGAGTAAAACTCTCCCTCCCTCTGGTTTCCAGAAACTGATATTCATAAGCATTAGTGCCTCCGAGCTTGGAGGCAGAGCATAGCCACCATGGCTGGTCGCCATTGGTAGCCTTCTCTCCAATCCTCTTTTAAAGCCATCCAAGGTGGGTGGCCATCACAATGCATAGTCCCATGGGCGAAATATATACTGGTATATATATATATATATATATTTAGAGTGATGAAGAATTATTGTGCTTTTTGCAAAGTCTCATTGAGAGTCACATTGCAATTGGTCTTTTTTTTTGCCTACCCAAACATGGAGCACTGCTTACTCTCTTGAATACAATACCTTGGTTGTTAAAGGTAAAGGGACCCCTGACCATTAGGTCCAGTTGCGGACGACTCTGGTGATACAGCGCTCATCTTGCTATACTGGCTGAGGGAGCTGGCGTACAGCTTCCGGGTCATGTGGCCAGCATGACTAAGCCGCTGCTGGCAAACCAGAGCAGTGCACGGAAACGCCATTTACCTTCCCACAGGAGTGGTACTTTTTTATTTATTTGCACTTCGTGCTTTCAAACTGCTAGGTTGGCAGGAGCAGGGACCGAGCAATGGGAATTCACCCCATTGCGGGGATTCTAACCATCTACCTTCTGATCGGCAAGCCCTTGGCTCTGTGGTTTAACCCACAGCGCCACCCGCATCCTTTGAAGCTTAGTTGTTACGATGTGGTAAAATGTGTCTGAGCCGCATTCCTGGTGCACCACCCCATTCCCTTTTTTTCAAAATCTCTTCTCTTCCACCTGCAGTTGTGCCCAGAGTGGGAACACGAGGAGGAACAGCCACCAGCGTAAAATCAACCAGCAGGAAGAGAGTTGTCAGAATCTGACGGACTTCACCCCAGCCAGAGTCCCTAGCAACCTGGATATATTCACGGCCTACAATGAGACGCTACAGTGTTCCCATGAATGTGTGAGGACGCCAGTGCCGGTCTACGCGGAGGAGACAATACTTCCCCCAGGGGATTATAAAACATCCTTCAATGGAAATAGGTAAGGAAGCAAAAGCTCGTTCGGACTCATCCATTTGCATTTAGTGGATATTGGATTTGGTGGTTGACATCATGAGCAAAATAGAGTCTCTCTTTCTTTCTTTCTTTCTTTCTGTCTGTCTGTCTCTCCCACACAAGCACAAGTAAGGTAAAACTGTTAAGTGCCTCCTTCCACATCGTCACATTTCCCTCTGGAGGGAAACTTAGAAAAGCTGGCAAAAGCAGGGGTCCAGATAGAATTGAATGTTTCCCCTATATGTTTACACCCATACCTTGACTGAAAAGGACCACACCCATCTCTGTGTACACCAGTGGTAGCCATTGTGGAGCCCTCCAGTTTTTGCTGGACTTCAACCAGTAGAGGTAGGCCCATTAAGGAGAATGGGGCACTTCCCCACCAACCCCATCTTACCCTCAGCCATTCACCACCTGCCTTCTTAACTGCATCCAGCCCATGGGGGCGGCACCGTCCGACATTTCCCTCCTTCTAAGTCTGAGTGTTGCCTTTACAGAACTCAGCAGGGAGGCGGCGGCACGATAGTTATTATTTAACTATTGCATTTGTGTCCCACCTTTCTTCCAAGGACCTCAAGGTGGTTCATGTTGTCCTTTTTCTTTTATCCTCACAAGAACCCCATGAATTAGGTTAGGCTGAGAGGCAGGGACTGGCCCAGGTCACCCAGGGAGCATCATGGCTGAGTGTGGGGATTTGAACCCTGGTTTCAAATTCTTAGTTTGACACTGTAACCACTACACCTTAGTGACTATCTACTTATCATTAGTTCGGGCTCTGCCTGCCATTAGCTCTGGTTCCTCCAAGTGTTGGCCTCCTCGCCTTCCACTCTCCCCGTCCCAGCGGTTTCCAGTCTCCACTGACTAAAACTCCCAACACTTCCAGCCAGCATGGCTAATGGTCAAGGGGGGATGATGGGAGGTGATTTCCAGCAACTTCTGGAGGGCACCACGCTGGCTAATCCCGTATGTACACCCTGAACAGCAGTTTTATCCTATATGCCCTGAGCCAGATACATGTTGAAATTCTCAACACTAGAGCAAAGATTTCAATGTGTGTCTGTATTAGATGTGACAACAGCCCAATGCCCCCCATTGTAAAACAGAGAGGCAACCAATCTGTGTGTCATAGTCTGCCAGGAAGAGTTGCCCTACGTTAATCTGTCCCAGGACTGAACCAGAAAGCTGATCATAGATCTCTCTTCCCAACTTCATGTTCCATTCAGTGTAACTCAGGGTGAATCCAAACAACTGACAACCCTTTGGTGACTAGTTTTCTGAGTGAGTGTCAAGCGATGGTAGTCACTATTCACTCCTTATCTATTAAACCACTTCTCTACATTCCAACCTCTATGATGGGATGAGAAGGGGGATAAAAAACCTGGAGAAACTGTAATAAGATAATTTTTCAGTTTGAAGATTGAGGGGTGAGGGAATCACTTTGTGGTGTGTTCCTCCAACGTGACATCAAAATTTATTGTCTGAAATAGTCCTGTTTGCAGGACGTTCTGCAACTATCTTTTTCTCAGTTTGAAAAGGATCTCTGGGACAACCCAACACACACACAAATACACCCACACACCCACAACTCCTCCTCTGTCTCCCACACACAATATTTGTTCTACTGGTTCTAATTAATGTGAAGTGAAGTTTTGCAAGCACTGTGGTTAATGTGAGATTGTGGGGTGTGGATTCTTTTGTCCAGCTTGAGAACACTGAATATGGGAGGGCAAGATAGGCACTGAGCGTAGTATTCAACACTAATCCTGCTCAGAGTAAACTCACTGAAGTTAATGGACATGGCTAATTTAGGTTCACTGAATCTGTGCAGGACTTGGTTGAATACTGCCCCATAAGTGTGAAATGTTAAGCATTTTCTCAGAATCCTATAATCTGTTGAGTGCATCTGATTGAATGACCAGAAAAGCAGCCATGATGAAATATACTCTCAGTTGCTTAGGGGCCAATTGCATGCAACTCTGAGGGTTTTGTCAATGTTTGTGTGTGTGTATTTGTGTTTGACACTGGAATCATGACTATCCATTGCGAATCCCCTCCCTCCCTCCCACAGGAGACGTGGATGATTGCTAGGAGAGGCATAAACTCAGCCTTCCCCATCTTGGCGTTTACAGAAGTGGGTGGACTCCAGCTCCCACCAGTCCCAGCTAGCACAGCCAATGGTCTGGGATGATGGGAATTGTAGTCCAAACATTTGGAGGGTCCTAGGCTGGGGAAGGCAGTCCAATGCCATTGTTGTTGATGCTACTACCAAAAGCAAGTTTGGGGGGCAGGAATGGAACTCCTGTTCAATTCTTATATCAACACTTATAAGCACTTCCTAAGAATTGTAAATATCTAGACCACAAGTGGCTAACCTGCACACACGCACACCCAGATGTTCGTGGGCTATAATCCCCACAATCTCTGAACATTGGCCATGTTCTTGGGGCTGAAGGGGACCTACATCCTACAACATCTGGAGGACCACAGGTTCCCCACCCCGATATATAGATATAAAGCACCCTTCCCAACCCAATTCCATCCAAATGTTGTTAGACTTAAGTTCAGGGGGTGATCAACACCCGGAGGACTCCAGGCAGATGAGTGTTGCCCTTGCTCCTCTGGAAGCCTCCCTTGGACAACTTAATTTTGCCAAGTTGTGTGTCCTATCCCACTCATCAAATTCTTGCTTGATGGAACTGAAACCCACCCAGACTCTATATGTTCACTATATATCTTTTTGATTCCCTTTGACCATCCCACTAAAGCCACAGCCAGCAAACATGATCCTGTGTTGTTCAGCCACTCCTTGATTTTTATTTTTTTGCCCAATCTGCTTGCTACCTTTGTCATGCTGTTGCCATGCTTCCATGGTCGACTCCCATTTCACATAGGAAAAGTTTCTCAATCATCTTACTTCCCAGGCAAAAAATGCCCACTGCATCCATAATTTGATGTTATGAATGTAACCTGATTATTGGGAACTGATGGCTATGTCAGAAAGGCAATTTTAAGTTGAACCTTGCCTGCCTGTCCACAGATATTGTAGTATCCCACAAGTCCCAATGCAATTGGAGTACATCCAACGATGCTACGATCATTTTATTTGGCTTAAGATTGAGAGGCAACTTGGCCACCAAAAAGTCTGTCTTTAGAAGAGTCTTGCTGATGATCAGTGCAAAGATTTCCAACCAAACATTTGCTGCATACTTGAAGCATGCTTGAACTTCATCTACTAAACCCAATTAAGATTCTGAGAAATCTCCACACTACTGCTTCGTCCCTGTTGGTCCAAATTTAGAACTGAACTTAAATAGGGAAAGGGGACACCGCTCAGATTCTGCAGGGTCCCCAGGAATTGGGGGGGGGGGGGTTAGTTGCAATCTATGGGTGGGAATACTCTTGTGGAAATCTTTGTGGGTGTTGTGGACACTAGCTGAAGTGCCGAGATGTGGGCTTCCTGGTGGGCAGAAGATTGACAAGGATTTTTCAACCATTTCATTGTGTGCCTGTCTTTGTGATGCTGGAATATGAGCCGCAGCCAACCAATGCGTGGGAAGCCATAGAGTGGCGGTTTTGGGGAAGTGGGGATGAAGGGCGTATCTATGTGTCTGTGTGTCTGTGTTTTCCTGTTGTACCTGTGAACTGTGGAGAACCGTTTCCTACAGGTGCCTTTCCATTTTTATGCTCCTCTTTCTGTATTCTTCCCTGGCAGGTGTGCATTGGCTGGAAAGGGTTCATTGCGGTTTATTTCTATCTTTAAAAAAGCGCGGGGGGGGGGAGAGAATATGATTTTTGTCTAAAGGTGGTGCTTTGTTGGGAATTATTGGTCTCTGCTCAATTCTTTCAGATTTGGCAAAATTGCCGGTCTTGCAATTTTTTTACAGAGGAAATCAGAGGGTACAACTTTTCAGTTTTTTGCATGGCCGAAAGCCATTGGCCTGGTATCAAGCAGGCATCTTAAACAGCCTATGACTGTGTCTGCAAAGCTCATTGGAAAAGCACAAAACCACAACATAAGATACAAATATGACTCTTTCCCCTGTATCTGAGACATCTCAGTGTAGGGATTGAGGCTTCAGTTGCCCTTATAAGCCCTATATGGTTATTAATATGGCTATTAGAGCCTCTGTATCCTTCAACAGAGGGAACACAGGTGGCGCTATGGTCTAAACCACAGAGCCTAGGGCTTGCTGATCAGAAGGTCGGCAGTTCAAAGCCCCGTGACAGGGTGAGCTCCCGTTGCTCGGTCCCTGCTCCTGCCAACCTAGCAGTTCAAAAGCACGTCAAAGTGCAAGTAGATAAATAGGTACCGCTCCAGCGGGAAGGTAAACTGTGGTTCGCCAGAAGCGGCTTAGTCATGCTTGCCACATGACCCGGAAGCTGTCTGCAGACAAACGCCAGCTCCCTCGGCCAATAAAGCGAAATGAGCGCCACAACCCCAGAGTCGTCAGTGACTGGACCTAATGGTCAGGGGTCCCTTTACCTTTTATCCTTCGACATGGGTGATATAGCATCCACTAAGGTCCCATGTTGGGATACCAATACTGACTGGGGATTTTGTTTGTTTTAATCTGGGGTGGGTTTTCCCCCTACACCTTCAAAAAAACCCCCACTTTCCTCTTGGAACACCCGCAGAAACCAATACAACCATCCAAAGCATCGTTTTGAAATTATAGTCCCCACTCAAAATATGAAAAGAAAAAGCTGATTTTGGGCTGCAGACGTAGCTAGATTTACTTGCTGTGTGTTACACATTGCCACGTGCCAGTCGATTTTTCTGCTTGCTGCAGACCCTCCTCCTCTGATCGGCATCTAATCCCTGTGGCCTTTGTGTCTGAGAAATGGTTTGAAATCTCCTGTTGACCAGCCGAAGTCTGTTTTATTTCCTGGGGGCAGGGCAGACGCCATGTGTCCATTTCCTGGTACGTACCTTCTCTTCCGCCATTTTTATTCCCAAATCACCAATCTGTCCGCCCAGTGAAATCCCTCCCACACTTTCCAATTGCACCCCTGCTGTGATCGAAGGGAGCTCCCCGATGCTTTTAATTAAAATGCCTTGCTAGTTTACACAGAAAAAGAAAAAGAGGGAAAGCGAGCACGACTTTTGCTCTGCAAACGCCAAACATTTGCTGCTACATTAATCTATCGAACCTTTGTTTTTAATCTGTTTTAGATTATCGCAGTTACGCAAGGCGCTTATCACAGCAGGGCTGAAATTGCTTGCATGCAGAGGTGGCATTGGAACAACTAACGTTAAGCATGTTTCAGATGAATTTAAATTATTGTAATGAGTTGCTTTCATTTCCTTACCTGATGTTATTGCTTCAGATTGTTTTGTAATAATTGATTACAAGTCAGGATTCCTAAACATTTAGTTATAAAAAATGTCTAGTGAAGAAACAAGGAGAGGGTCTGGTGTTTTGCCACTTCTGTAATAGAACACACACATGCCTTTTTATTTGGTGCTTAGGATGGGTAACAATATTGTACAGGCATCTCAAAAGCACATGGTCTAAATTCAAACAGGGATGGTGGGAGGATGTTGAGGAACTCCTACTTCTGTTGGATAACCAACGTAGCCCATGTTCAGGGGTGATGCGGGCTGTATTGCAGCGAAATCTGAAGGACTACAGGTCCTCAGTCCTTGAATTAGATGGATGGAGAGGAAGAGGGGGGTGAGTCAGAGAAGGGAAAAAAAAGGCATTGGTTTTTGTTTTGTTTTGTTTTGCAAAATCACCTTCCAAAATTCGCCCTTCCTTCCACAAATAATTCAGCTTCTTTTAGAGATTAATTAATTTGTATACCCCCTTCATCCGTAGATCTCAGGGTGGTTCACAGCATCATCCAGTAGGAAATTTGGAGCAAAACTGGAGTTTAGGGGGTACAAAGTTTACCCCACCCACAAAACCAACCAACCAACCATTAAACTTTATCTTCAAACTCATTTCTCCATCCATAATGATAGTTGTTCAGGTGTCTCGGTCTTGTGGTGAACCAGAGACAGAAAACTGTGGCAAGGTTTCTTAGGCAAGGTGAGAAAACTATTCTGTTTTTGCACGCTGTGGTTTACAGCACAGCAAAGTAGGGGAAGGCACATATGCAAGGGGTTAACTTGGCTAAAGCCTCTGAAGCATCGAAAGAAGTGGGAGAACTCCTCTGGTCTTCCAGTGGTTCCATTACCCAGGGATACACCCTTCTCACCCACCCACAGTTTGCTTTTGCCGCCTCCCATTCCTTATGTGCCTTCAAGAGCATCATTTCAGAGGAAAGGAATTGCAGGCTGTGTACGAATGACATTTTATTCTAGAATCCATGGAAACCAAGTCCTTTCCCGCTCCCAAACACAATCTCAACCTACTGTGTATTTTTATTTTTTGCTCATGAAAAGCACTTCTGGAGAAACTGGTTTCATTCTAAAAACAAAAGCTCATTGCAATTTATTCTGCCTCACCCCACAGTATATCCATTTGAAGACAAAAGGAACTGGATGTAGGAGATCCTAGCGAGGTGGGTTGCAGGCCCGTGCAGGGATGGGGGGGGCAGTTGGGTACACTTGCCCCAGGCCTCAGAGGGCTAAGCCAGGTGGAGGCCCTCAACAGGGACTGGCTGCTTTTTTGTTTGAGTTTATAACTTTATTCTAACAAGACTTCCACCCTGGACCTCAGACAAGCGCTGCATGGACCTGGTGGGGGTGTATCCACACATACCCAGTGACATTTTGGGTGGGCATATAGGACGGCTGTCCACCCGACTCAATCAATAAATCAGGTCTATGCAGAGGGACTTGGGTGTTGGATGAGTCGGGTTCAGACAGCCATGAATTTCCAAGGGTTGGAATGAATGGTCCATGACTGTCAGGGAGCAGGGCATCAGGAAGGCAGGAGACCAGGCAAGGAAACCCCACACAAAAAAATCTAGGCTCTACCTCTGCATCACCAGCTGCATCTTCCAGGAGAAGGTAAACCCAGCTTAGGTGGGTCTTCTCACAGCAAGGCTGTGAGTGTTCTCTGCAGGCATCCTACCCAGGGGGCTGTGTGCTGTGTGCCCTCACCCTTCTGATAACCACCTTCACATATCTGAAGGACTTTCACATGGAAGGTGGGACAAGCTTGTTTCTGGCTGCTCCGGAGGGAAGGACCCCAACCAATGGATTCAAATGGCAAGAAACGAGATCCTAGCTAAACATTGGGAAGAATTTGCTGGCGGTAAGAGCTGTTTGAGAGTGGAATAGACTCCCTTGGAAGGTGGTGGTCTGTCCTTCGACCGAGGTTTTTAAGGAGAGTTTGGATGGCCAGCTCTCAGGGATTCTTCAGCTGTGATTCCTGCATTGCAGGGGGTTGGACTGGATGGCACTTGGGGTCCCTTCCAAGTATACAATTCTAAAATTCTATGATCATCACTTGGGTTCATACAAAACAGCCCTTGTGTGCAGCATAAGGTTTGAAGACCTGCCTGGGGAACGGCAGTAATGGGGTCATGGCAGTCAGTGTCAATGAGACACATAGGGTTGCATGAGTATGAGTGAATGTGTGTGTGTGTGGTGATGCAAAGGTTGTGCTGGGGGTGCATAGCTGTCAACCTTCCCTTTTTTTGCGGGAAATTCCCTTATTCCAGCGCCGTTTCCCGCTGCTATCCCGGATTGTTAGATATCCCGTAGACTGTCTCAGGGACAGGTGAGGCTGCTGATCCCTTATTTTTGAGGCTGCTGATCCCTTATTTTCAAATCTGAAAGTTGACAGCTATGTGGGGGTGGTGTCTTCACCACTGTGGGTTCTCTTTCAGTAGTGGGCACCATGGTGGTACAGATCCATTCATGCGATCTCCATTTGTCCCTTTTGCTACTGCTTAGGGCACAGTCCTCCTCCAAAGGTATATTCTGCGACAGATGTGCTGATGTTCTGGCTTGGTCAAGGTGGAGCGGCAAGGCTTGGAAGCTTAGTTTAGAGTAAAGGAGAGTAAGAGGGGACATGATCAGAATTTGTAAAATGATGCATGGCATGGAGAAAGTGGGTAGCAACACTACAACTTGTGGACATCCAAGGAAGCTGAGTGTCAGAAGACTGAGGACAGATTCGTGCTCCTCCATGCAGCACATAGTTAAAATATGTAACTCACTCCTGCAGGAAGAAGCAACAGAAGCCAGCCTAGATGGTTTTAAAAAGAGTGTTAGACAAATTCATGGAGGAGAGGGCTATGGGTGGCTGCCAGCCAGGATGGCTCTGCTCTGCCTCTGAATACGTGTTGTAAGCAATAATGCTTCTGAATACAGTGGTACCTTGGTTTAAGGACAGCTTAGTTTATGAACAACTTGGATTAAGAACGCTGCAAACCCGGAAGTAGGTGTTTTGGTTTGTGAACTTTGCCTTGGAAGCGGAACATGTTCCGCTTCCTGTCGAGTGTGTTCCATTTGTAAATTGAGTCCCCCACTGCTGTGGGAAAGCACGCCTTGGTTTAAGAACGCTTTGGTTTAAGAATGGACTTCTGGAATGGATTAAGTTCGTAAACCAAGGTACCACTGTACCAGTTGGTGGAAATCACAGGAGGAGAGAGGGCTCTTGGGCTCAGGCCCTGCTTTCAGGTTTCCTATTTGGGCATCTGGTGGGCCATTGTGAGAACTGAAACTAGATGGACCATTGGCTTGATCCAGCAGGGCTTTTCTTGTGTTCTTTTTTTCTTTCTTTGTTCTTATGATTCCGAATTCCCACTAAGGTCTGATGATACTAGAAATGTTACAGCCATTCCCCCCTCTCTCTCCTTTAGTATCTGCGGTGTCTTTCATGTTGTTCCTTTGAAGGTGGCCTTGTAGACTGCAGCGGGAGGGGAAAAGCTATTAGACATAACCCGCCATTTCACTGTAGGGTAGCCAGGCCAGTTTTAAGCCAAGCAGTCGAGCAAATTAATTGGTCAGTCTCGAATCTGCTCCCTCCCCGAACCATCATAATGAATCACGGATCTCCCCTAAATGAAATTTTCCAGCCTTCGCTAACTGTGACTTGCTCGGAATTGCCCGTTTAACATCATGCCCAGCCACTGAGCATTACAAAAAGGTAATTAGATTAGAACAGAAAAGAGAATAAAAAGTTAACGGCCTCCGCTGAAGCTGCTCCACACAGCTATTTCGGGGGCTGCTGAGATGAAATATGAGATTGTCAGAGGCTCAGGATGAGGATGGGGCATAGAAAGCTGCCTTGTACCAAGTCAGACCATCAATACATCTATCTCAGTACGAAGACAGGAGTGCCTGGCGTGCTCTGGTCCATGGGGTCACGAAGAGTCGGACACGACTAAACGACTAAACAACAACAACAACAATCTCAGTACACCTTTTAGGGGGAGGGCCATGTTTGGCATGCTGAAGGCATCTTCAGCTACAGTGTCTGCAGAAATCTTTTCCAGATATTTTCTTTTTTTCCCCAGTGGGAGGTAATATTTGTGGGTGGAGGGCCAAAGTAAAACACTGAAATGGTTGAGCTGGCCAGTGTCTCACACAAAATGCTGTCTGTACATTTGGACTCATATCGCTGGTTCTAAAAATGCTAGAAATCTCTTTTTTTAAGAAAAGAAATGAATGAAAGCTGGGAATCTGCAGAGTATGGTTCAACCTGGGGGCATCAAGGAAGGCCTTTGAAGGCATCATGGTGCCTGTCAGGTACACTAGGTTGGGAACACATGAAGATGGACCAATGAGCTGGCTTGGTGTAAGGCTCCAAGACAGAGCAGGGGAAGGGGGGGGTGGGAGAGACCTTACTTTTGCTGAACTAGCTGCCATTCGCCTACTACCAGCAGGGACAGCACAATATGTTTTGTTGCTGAGCTGGAACAGCAAATGTTGTCCCACCTGAACAGGAAGGTGCAGAAATCCCAAAGGCCCCTTTCCTTGTACTAAAAACCATTAAATAACTGAACATTGTTCTGCTTCTTACATGGCATTAAAAACAAACAAACAGGTGTGTAGCAGGCATCTGGTTCAGAAGTCCCTTCTGTACCCTGAGAACCACCTCCACAAATTCTGTAAATTATTATAGATTATTATAACCAGCCCATCAACACTGCATCTTGAAGAACAATTCAGCCAATCAAATCCTCCTGGAACTTTGGACCCTGTGGGAACCCTGTAGTCCATCTGTTGTTAGTTATTAACATTCTCTCCAATATCCTTCCTGAGAAGAAATCCTTGGTTAAATCGGCAAGATCTTACAGCAAAAAACCAAATACAGCTCTGGACCTATAAAATATTATTCTGTGTAGTTCTAGGGGAAAACAAGAAAAGAAAAGAACCCCAGAGTATTGCTTACATCCTTCAAAAGTCAATGGACATGCTCTGTGAAGTCTGCAACATTTCTATACAAGGGAAATTAGCTCTTTAATAATATTTATAATATATTGATATGGAAGTGTGTATTATTCCAGCCCCTGGGACAGAGTGGGTGAGATTGCAAGTGAAGGTAGTATAAATGGCAAGTGAGGGCACTGTTTGCAAAATTGCCAAGAAATGATAAAATGGGAAAGTGGTCGCTTTTCAATGCCACCAAAAATCCCTCCTCTAAACAGTCAGTTCAACTAAGCACTAACTCTATTCTTATTAAAACTTTACGCCTGAACCCTGAATTAGAGCCATGTAGAAAGGGCCTCTTGGAATTCTCTGGAGAAATTGGAAAGACTCCTTGAATTTATTCAGCTTCTCTGGGTGGAGCTCACCAGTAGAAATAATAGTTACATTACCTATTTCCTTTTGCATAAGTTTCTTCTTCTTCTTCTTCTTCTGACATTTTGCATTCTCACCGATGCACCAGACCAAGCATAATTCCAAGCAAACCTATTGAGGTTTCAGTGTGAGCTGAAAGGCAACCATTAGCTTTTCATTAGAAATGCTAACAACCCTGCCAAAAAATGCAACCATTTGAACTATCAGCATGAAGCAGGAAGCACCTCAAAGGAAAGGAAAGATGTTCCCAGCCTTTGATTCCCCCCTCCCAATTCTCTTTCCCCAGCTGATGACCATTCCTGCTCTGAAATAAGTCCCAGAGCAACTTTCCTCCCCCACCTTACCACCCGTTTTCTCTGCCTTGGGTGTTTTAATTTTCACCCGGAAAGATGGGCTGTAAGTGCCCCCAAGAAATAAGAGACAGGCAAAGAAGCATGCAACAAGACCTCATTTCACTTTCTAAGGAAACAGAGAGAGATGCTTATGGGAGGAGGTGCTCCCTGAGAACCGTAATTTGGATGAGAAGAGGTGATAAAAAAAAATCCTCAAGAAGCATAAAAGAGCCCACATAAGTCCTTTGGGCCTCCAGTTGTGAATATCTGCTTGGCTGCCATCCCAGGGACTCTTGCTCCTCTTCCTTTGACTAAGAAGGCACCAAATTGAGGTCACAGAAGATTCCACATCAAGGAGTGACCTAGTTTGCAAATTGAGGCCATGGAGAAAAGCTGTTAAGAGCGTAATAAATATACAGGTTGCTACTGACACGTCTCTGTCTCTGTAGCTTCACTCTGCAGCGCTTATTAGTGTCTGCACAGTGCTGAGAAACCAGATCTGGTGGTTCAGCTAAGATCAAATTGTTACGTACGTGTGTGTGTGTGTGTGTGTGTGTGCAGGACAGCTTGTGGTATAGGGGATGTTCCAAGGGGGTTCCGATTTGGCATTGCACAGTGATATAAGCCGCAGCATCAGGCTGGGTTACTGTTACTGTGCAAGCTGGAGGTACCTGGTGTCCTGGCCTGATTCTGCCTGATGCCAACAAAAGCTTTTTTAGTATTAGTCCACGTAAAGTAGCTCATCTCGTCTTGAGGGGCAGTCAGAGAACTGTGTTGCGCTGGTGGTGGGGCTGGAGATTAAGTATCAGGAAGAAGGCTGTTAATTAAGATTTCAGATCACCGCATGATTTGGGGAACTGGAAACTCAATGTGAGGTAGGAGAGGACTCCATATTGGAGCAGGGGTTGCTTGTTTTCCACTGTCCCAAAGGATTGAACCAATGGATTCAAATGATAAGAAAGGAGATTCCAGATAAACATTTGTTGTTGTTGTTGTTTAGTTGTTTAGTCGGGTCCGACTCTTCGTGACCCCATGGACCAGAGCACACCAGGCACTCCTGTCATCCACTGCCTCCCGCAGCTTGGTCAGACTCATGTTTGTAGCTTCGAGAACACTGTCCAACCATCTCGTCCTCTGTCGTCCCCTTCTCCTTGTGCCCTCAATCTTTCCCGGCATCAGGGTCTTTTCCAGGGAGTCTTCTCTTCTCATGAGGTGGCCAAAGTATTGGAGCCTCAGCTTCAGGATCTGTCCTTCCAGTGAGCACTCAGGGCCGATTTCCTGATAGGTTTGATCTTCTTGCAGTCCATGGGATCCTCAAGAGTCTCCTCCAGCATTAAACATTAGGAAGAACTTCTGAGGTAAGAGCTGTTTGACAGTGGAACAGATTCCCTCAGAAGTTGATTGACTCTCCTTCATTGGAAGCTTTTCAACAGAGTGCGGATGGCCACCAGTCAGAAATTCTGTAGTTGCGATTCCTGCGTTTCAGGGGGTTGGACTGGAGGATCCTTGGGGATCCCTTCCAACGCTACAATTCTATGGTTCTATAATTCCTTCAGACACCCCCCCTCCCCAACTTGGAGCTTTTCAGTTGTTTTCAATGTTGGGGAGCATTTTTTCCCTCAACTTGCTGGTAGCAGTGTCTATCCCAGTGGTTTGTGGTTCCCATTTGTACTTAGAATTTTCATCTTGATGATGTAGCTTTATTCTGAAGGGGATGGGGATAGGATGGAACCCATCAGATCCTGGGAGATGAACTGGCATGGAGGTGGGAATAAGAGGCGAGCCTGGAGACAATCTGTGGGACCTTTCACCCATCCAACCCGTCTCCATGATTTCAAGCTACAAGTCTACTATAGTGCCTTTTTTGGTTATAAATGAAATATGCTTCAATCAGCTAGCCTTTGCTTCCCCACCCCCCACAAGGTTCCAGACTACAACTCCTGTCAACCAAGGGGTTGTAGCACAGAAGATCTGGAGGCCACCAGACTGACAAAGGCTGAGATGGAGAAATGTACAATTTTGCTTCATCCACTTCTCTCTGAATCATTTTAGCTCCAGGGTCTGGCTTCCTGTTGTATGTTTGCTTTATGGTTGGTAACCTGGCAAGGTCATCGCTCCCTGGTTTGTTTATTTAATTGTTGCATTTCTATCCTTCCCCCCTCCCCAAGGAGCTCAATGTGATGGATACATGGTCCTCTCCCTCCTCATTCATTTCCCACAACCCTATGAGGTAGGTTAGGATAAGAGGTTTTGGACCTTGATCTCCCGAGTCCAGCACCTTAACCACTACACCCCATTGGCTCTCAATAAAGGCCACGAAGCAGGTTGTGAGAAAAGGACCTCCAGCACAACCATAAACAGAACTCTTTCTAAACCTCCCCCTCAAAAAAGAGATATGAATGGCAGTGTTGAGAGAGGGGTGTGCCCCTTTTGAGTCTAGCCTGCTAGCCATTGCACAAACAGCAATTAACTTTAAATGTAATTAAAGTTTAGTTGCAATACATGGTACTTATCTCCTGCATGTCGGCTAATCCTCAATAGATGTAACTCTAATGATGATTTACGGTTTTGCTAACGCGTCCCTTAATCTAAATTAAATGTGTAGTGATACTAAAGACCTCTCCTCTCTCTCACCCGCACCCAGATTGCACACTTGTGGGCTAAGTGGTCGGGAGGAGGAGAGGTGAACACCTCAGAACAGGATCGGGGCCATGTGCTGCTGCTTCCCTTCCTCTGGCGAGGAGGTCACATTCATGAGGGCTGGTTCATGCTTTGGACATTTTGAATTACTGGCGCATTACAAGAGGCCACTGCAGACAGGAATGCCCAGGACTTTTTGCTGCTGGAAGCAAAAGAGAAAACGCTGCCCTTGTTTCTGCAACCACCACTATGTGCCCTCTGCTGCCATGCATCCCCTGCCACCTGGTGCTGCATGGATGTTCAGTGGAGGAAGTGGCAGTGGCTGTCAAGCATAGGAGGCAGTGAGCGGTGCTCTCCTTGGAGGCTGGATCTCCTGTCCCTCCCAGCTGTCTGGAGGGGCCACTGCCTCAACTTGCCTCATGGGTGGGCCAGCCCTGACCACAAATACAGCACTACAAGCTGAGCTTTCAGAGCAGCTTCATCATTGTAGTTTTCAGCTGAGTTAAATCATAGCATAATGTCAATAAGTTGCATCAATAAGAACATAAGCAGTTAGTCTTGCTGGATCAGACCAAAGGCCCATCTGTTGGAAGATTCAGGACACGTCAAATAAAGTCCTCAAAGGAAAACAGGGCCCAACCTGGTGATAACAGAGTAATGGTGGAGTGGACCACCTTGAAAGATGGTGGAATCTCCTTCACTGGAGGTTTTTAAGCAGAGGTTGGATGGCCATGTGTCAGGGATTCTTTAGCCGTGGTTCCTGTATTGCAGAGGGTTGGACTAGTTCCTTGAGACCCCTTACGATTCTGCAATCCTATGGTTCTATGATTCTTCATGCAGCACGTAGTTAAACCATGGCACTTGCTCCCACGGGAGGCAGTAATGGCTTTAAAAGAGGATTTGACAAATCCATGCAGGGTAAGGCTATTGGTGGCTACTAGCAAAGATGGCTTTTTTTCCATGTTCAGAGGAAGTCATGCATCTGAATGTGAGTTGCAGGAAACGACTGTAGGGGAGAAGGCTACAATTCAAAGTGTTGGTGCTGACCTTTAAAGCCCTAAACGGCCTTGGCTCAGTATACCTGAAGGAGCGTCTCCACTCCCATTGTTCACTGAGGTCCAGTTCCAAGGGCCTTCTGGTGGTTCCCTCACTGTGAGAAGTGAGGTTACAGGGAACCAGGCAGAGGGCCTTCTCGGTGGTGGCGCCCGCCCTGTGGAACGCCCTCCCATCAGATGTCAAGGAAATAAACAACTATCTGACTTTTAGAAGACATCTGAAGGCAGTCCTGTTTAGGGAAGTTTTTAATATTTGATGTTTTGTTTTGTATTTAATCTGTTGGGTGCCACCCCAAGTGGCTGGTGAAACCCAGCTGGATGGGCAGGGTAATAATAATAATAATAATAATAATAATAATAATTCTCAGATCCTGTTTTCAGACTTCCCATTGGTGCATCTGACTGGCCACTGTGAGAACATGATGCTGGACTGGATGGGTCATTAGCCTGATCCAGCAGGCTCGTCTTACTTTATTATGTAGTTCAGCCTCCTGTTCTCCCAGCAACAGACCTGATGCCTCAATGGGGAAATCCCCTGTCTTTCTTAATTCTGCATCACTGCAAGGTGGCAGCATTTGTTATTCCCCTCCTGCCCCCGCTTCCCTATTTATAAAATGTTCACAGTGCTTCCCCTTCTCTCTCTCCTTTTCCCATCAAAACCACAGTGCAAATGAGCAGGGATGTCATATTTTAAATGTTGCCCTCCTTGCTTCTTTGAACCCCTAGAACCTCCAAGATGCATTTTATGCCTCAAGCCCTTCAGTGAGTATAGCTTTTGTGTTTCCTATCCATCATAATGCTGCACACATTCCAATCCCCAAGTGGAAAGAGATTCCAGAAATGCCAGCCCTTTCCCCAGGGTTTGGTTTTCTTGGAATAAAAGTCAGAGGAGGCTGTAATGATATATATGTGTGCGGTTTTACTTACTCATGTATGCAACCTGTATACATGTATACAACCTGAGCATCCCCAGATAATGTGGCATCCAGCCAGGTGAGATAGGAAAAGGCTCACTCATGTGTCTCTATGGCAACCTCTTTGGACATGTACGTGGCAGGACTTAACTAGCCGGCCAAGTTATTACCACAACAAAGGTACTGGTTGGGTTGGTTCAGCAGGTTTCTCCTACCAGATACTAAGCCTCACATATGCAGGATCACATATTTGGAAGGGATCCATAGGTATTTTCCAGGCTGATGCCTCAACTCTAACCAAAGCAATAATTAAACCAGAGGCACCAAGATGTTCAAGAGCTGTGGAAATGAAGCCTTTTGGGGAATGGCTGAGGGAGTTGAGTATGTTTAGGCTGGGGAAGAGAAGACGGAGAGGTGATGTGATGATCATCTTCAAATATCTATAAGGCTGCCGCATGGAAGATGGAACAAGTTTGCTTTCTGCTGCTGCTGAGGGTAGGTTCCGAACCAATGGATTCAAATTGCAAGGAAAGAGATTCCAACTAAACATTAGGAAGAACTTTTTGATGGTAAGAGCAGTTTGACAGTAGAATAGACTACCTTGGATGGTGGTGGACTGTCCTTCATTGGAGGTTTCTAAACAGAGGATGGTTGGCCACCTGCCAAGGATTCCTGCATTGCAGGGTGTTGGGCTAGATGACCCTTGAGGTCCCTTCCAATCCTACAATTCGATGATTCTATGATCTGTTTGGGAATCTGTCTTCCAAAATGTTGCTAGACCCCATCTTGTTCTTGGGGCGCTCTAGATCTGTTTGAAGAATTTACCAGGGTATGGGGTTTGGAGCTTACCTTAGCTTTCCAAGGTGGCTGAAGGTGGTATGTGGGGGTTCCCCTCCATCCCGCAGTCAACATTTCTCCAGCACTCTGCAGCTTCCCCGACTGCCCACACTTCCTGATCTGAAAAAAAAAAGCCCAGCCGGAGGAGTGACCTCATGATGTCTTCCCCTAGGCTGAGCATGGGAAACCAGGGAGGGTGCAAATTGCAGAGCGCTGATGAGATGGTTTGTGGAGCAAATGGAAGGACCTTCACAAAACACCCCTCGACCACCTCAAAAATAAGGTAAGTAACAAAAAACCCAGCACCTCATTCATGAGAATGTCATTGAAATGTTCCACCTGCTTATAGAATGCAATTCTATTCATTAAAATCAGGCAGGCACCTTCAGCGTACTTTTTTCAGCACCTACTCAAAACATTTTTAGGCAAGCCCACCCAGATACGTAGAATGTTGACATATTCTTTCAATCTATTTTAGTTAATTTTAATTAGTATTTTGAAATGTTTTAAATTTAACAGTTTTTATTGATAATTTCATTGCTTTATTCTGTTTGCAAACAGCTTTGAGGTTTGGTTTGGTTTGGTTTGGTTTGGTTTTTCATTGCAATCAAGTGCTGTATTTTTGTTTTAAGTTCTTTTCTCATTAATTGATGACCAATAGTCAAAAATGCAGGAGATGTTTCAATGCGGCACTAAAATTAGATAGCTTGTATAATATCACTTGTTGGTAGCCTGAGATGAAAAGGAACTTTCCCAGGTGACTAGATAATAAGAAATGATATATTCCTTGATTGCCTAACCCCAACATCAGCCAACCCAGCCCCCTCTCCTCACCTCTGATACCATCAGATATCCACACAAGCCCATCAAGTCTGAACTAGATATTAGGGCATAAAATCCAGTGGGTGGAGGTTCTAATCACAATGTTGGTTTCTTGATTTTGTCTAGGAAATTGACTAGGCAAGCTGGCTTGTAAGTCTGTAGGATTGAATGCATGCATGCCCCAAGTGAACATTATTCCTCATGCACACTTGGATGTCTAGCTGTGTTGGAGGTGGGGTACTATCACAGGGTTGGTGGGGAGGGAAAGTGTGGTCTCACATCCCACGGCTTGTAGGAGAGCGATTGAGGAACATGTAGTCTCATCTGGTCTAGGGAAGCTCTTTTGTGTATCGGAAGAGAATTGGTTTTGGGATTGTCTTTGTATGTAGTTGTTATTCAGTTTTTGTTTTTTGATAGGCCATAACTGGCTAACTTAAGTGAGTGTGGGCTGGTGACATTGCTCCTTAATACCTAGCAGGAGCGTCTCCACCCCCATCATTTAACCTGGACACTGAGGTCCAGCGCCGAGAGCCTTCTGGTGGTTCCCTCACTGCGAGAAGCGAAGTTACAGGGAAGCAGGCAGAGGGCCTTCTCGGAAGTGGTGCCCACCCTGTGGAACACCCTCCCATCAGATGTCAAAGAAATAAACAACTATCTGATGTTTAGAAGACATCTGAAGCCCTGTTTAGGGGAGTTTTTAATGACTGATGTTTTAATGTATTTTTAATCTTTTGTTGGAAGCCACCCAGAGTGGCTGGGAAAACCCAGCCAGATGGGCGGGGTATAAATAATAAATTATTATTATTATTATTATTATTATTATTATTATTATGCCAAGCTGTGCCCTGAGATCTGCTGGGGTGACCCTGCTTGGAGTTCCACTGATGGGTATCACTGTGATGTTCTGGTGTTTATGTAAACAATATTGTGTGTATATCTTCCTATATACATAAAAATGCAAGGCTGTCATCACACAGCCCCCACTGGAGGATTAGTAGTGCCACATCACAATCCTAGATTTGCATGTGGAAATGGGGTTAGGAAGGTGAAAAGGAAGCTTAGTAGTTGCCTGGGGTGGCAAGTGGAAGCTCTAGGGGTTAATGCAGGAGAAATGGGGGGAAGGTTGGTGAAAACAGCAAGTAGGAGAACAGCTCCTGGTGTAATTAAAGTGCCATAAATGTGATTTAAAGTATCTGTTAGGTTGCAAGGGGGAGAAAGAGCGTGCATGTTATATTGGAAGTGAATGGTGATTGAATGAGAGTTTGAAAGTGAGTTTGAATGCTGGTGGGAGACAGTTTAGGGAGTCAGTTGAGTTTAGGAGTGAGTGGTAGCTGGAGTGGGAGTTAGAGCTAGAGATGGAGAGAGAGTTTGGATGGCAAGAGGTTTGTTTTCAATAGAATCGGGTCTGCATTTTTATTAGCCACATGAGACAAAGTAACAGATAGGATAACTCAAAACTTAAATCATATGCTTCTCTCCAGTATGTCAGGGTTTCCCAAACTTGGCTCTCTAGCTGCTTTTGGACTACAGTTCCCATAATCCCTGGCCACTGGTCCTGCTAGCTAGGGATGATGGGAGTTGTAGTCCAAAATCAGCTAGAGTCCCAAGTTTGGGAAACCCTGCAGTATGTGATCATAGAGACCTATATTTATTATTTCTGCCCTGATAGATCATTGCCTTACACCACATGCCCCTTGAATGGCTACATTAGATGTGGGAAATATTCAGGTACAGTGGTACCTCAGGTTAAGAACTTAATTCATTCTGGAGGTCCGTTCTTAACCTGAAACTGTTCTTAACCCGAAGCACCACTTTAGCTAATGGGGCCTCCTGCTGCTGCTGCACCACCGCTGCACTATTTCTGTTCTCATCCTGAAGCAAAGTTCTTAACCCGATGTACTAGTTCTCGGTTATCGGAGTCTGTAACCTGAAGCGTCTGTAACCTGAGGTACCACTGTATATAGTATCTCTGGGGGGAACAGGAACGAAGGGAATGTTAGATGTACCCCACAGAAACCCAGCTCAGGGTGGTCACCTTACAAAGAGAGAAGGTGATACAGGGGAGTTGTGTGTGTGTGTCTGTGGCTGAGGGTGGGTGGGGGCACGGCAGTCACCATGGCGACAGGTATTGTGGAGCGACTTCCCTGTGAAGAAAGGCTGCAGCATTTTTTTTTTGTTTTTAAAAAAATAATATTTATTGCTTTTCCGACAATTCAAACACACACAAAAATAAGAAGAAAAAAAGAACAACACAACACAATACAAAAACACTACACAACCCACTAAACTAACAGAACAAAAACAGTTAAAAAAAAACATCAAACAATTTCCGTATCTTATCTTTCATTCACTTATTTCAGTGACCTCCTCACACCTCCCTTTTTGTATTCCACTTCTGTTAATTGTTTCAGCAATTCCTTTCCATCTTCCTCTGCTTTCTATCTTTTAATTATCTTAACAAATTCTAACCTTATTTTTCCCTTCAGTACTCTGTTAATCTATTTATACTTAATTCCTTATAACATTTCTACTAAAGCCATATAATTTCATTCCAACATTTTTCTAACATTCATTAATTTTACAGTATTTCTGTAAATAGTCTTTAAACTTTTTCCAGTCTTCTTCCACTGACTCTTCTCCCTGGTCTTGGATTCTGCCAGTCATCTCCGCCAGTGCAAGGCTGCAGCATTTTGAGGTTTCTTAATTCGGAGAAAAGACGAGTAAGAGGTGACACAATGGAAGATTATAAAATTATGCAAGGCATGGAGAAAGTGGGGTGCGGCAAAAATTTGTCCCTCTAACGTAGCATTAGAACTCATGACATCCAAAGAAGTTGAATGTGGGAAGATGCAGGACTGAGAAAAGAAATCCTTCTCCTCACAGCACATAGCTAAACTGTGGAACTAACCTCCTGCCGGAGGCAATGATGGTCAGCAACTCAGATGGCTCTAAACGAGGATTAGATAAACTCCTGAAGAGGAGAAGGCTATGAAAGGCAACTAGCCAGGGGTGCCAACTTGAATAAAATATTGGGGAAGGGGCAGGTAAGCCCCACCCCGCATAATCGATCACAAGACGCAGCCCATCAACTTTGGGGAGGCCTGGCCCTCTCAAATATTTTATTTGTGGGGGGAAAGGGAACTCGGCCCCCAGGAATTGGCTCTTGTGCTACTAGCTATGATGGCTATGTTCTGCCTCCACCGTCCAAAACAGCAATGCTTCTGAATACAGTGGTACCTCGGGTTAAGTACTTAATTCGTTCCGGAGGTCCGTACTTAACCTGAAACTGTTCTTTAACTGAAGCACCACTTTAGCTAATGGGGCCTCCTGCTGCCGCTGCGCCGCCGAAGCACGATTTCTGTTCTCAACCTGAAGCAAAGTTCTTTTTTTAAATAATAATAATAATATTTATTAAAGTTTCAAAGGAAAAAAAATCACATTAGTAAAAAAAAATTAACAATGAAAAGGAAAAATACAAAGTAGAAAAAAAGAAAAAACAGTTAAAAACAATTCCATCTTTTCCTCACTTCTTTTACGTTTACTTGTTTCCCGGACCTCCTCATACCTCCCTCTTTTGTATTCCAATTAAATTTGTTATTCCAACAATTCCTTTCTAATCCTAATCTTTAATCTTGATATATTATAACTTTAAATTTTTACATATTAAAAACCAATTTTTCCATATTCTTTTGTACCTGTACAGCTAGAAACCACTTAACTTCAATCCAACATCATTCTAACATTCATTAATTTTGCAATATTTCTGTAAATAGTCTTTAAATTTCTTCCACTTAACCTGAAGCACTATTTCTGGGTTAGCGGAGTATGTAACCTGAAGCGTATGTAACCTGAAGCATATGTAACCTGAGGTACCACTGTACCCATTTCTGGGAGCCACAGGAAGGGAGAGAGAAGTGCTCTTGTCCTCTTGTCCTCAGCTCTTACCTGAGGGTTTCCCAGAAGAGGCATCTTGTTGGCCACTGTGGAAACATGAAGCTGGAGTAGATGGGATACTGGCCTGATCCAGGAGGCGCTCATGTTTTCAATGAGGGACTTTAAATGAGTTCTTATGTTTTAAATGAGGGTCTTCTTGGTGGTCGTGCACCAATTGTGGTACTCCCTCCCACAATGACAGTTTTTCATTGTCAGTCAAAGATGTGTTTACTTGTCCAGGCTTTCGAGATCTGTGTGAAGGGTCCCAAACAGTTCAATATTTCCATATGCTGCTATAGGTTTTTATTATTATTATTATTATTATTATTGCATGCTGTGAGTCTCCCTGGGCTCCTGTGGCAGGAAGGGGTGATACAGAACCAACACAACCACAACCATAATTTGAAAAGTATTTCTTCAAGCTTCTGTACATATTGTTACCTACCTTAACCAGGCTAGAAAAATTATTATTTTCATTGGGTGTGATCTAATGTCAAGTCATGCTCAGATTTAAACCCCATGGAATCAATTAATTTATGTAGCTTTGGTTCCAACAGATCTGATTTCAGCATGTCTTGGTTAGACTCTCTCTCGTGTTCTGTTTTTATTTAAAGAGGAAATAAAATTAAATTTTACATTGGATGATTGTATATTTGGTCTGCGGAGGGTCCTTATGTGCATGGCTACTGTTTTATTTGAGTTTTTGTTGATTTTCTCTAAATTTGGTCCATTTAATTAAAGGCGAAAATGAGCTGTAAGGAAGGTGATAGCCACTGAAAATTAATGCATGGCTAATACTAAAAAATAAAAAACCCAAAAAAACTGTAGATCATTGTGGGATGCTGCTAATTTTAATATTTTCTTTTTGTCCTTAACAGGATTCCATTGGTGAACCTGTAAAAAAAAAAAAAAAAGGAATGGGTTACCTATACCTACCATTTGTGTTTACTGATGGAAGACTCAAAGAACAGCCAAATATATTTTTATATAATAAAAAAGGGATTTGCCCCTACGAGTGATTGAATTTTCGAGGAGTGCATTATTTTTCATGGGAGAAGATGGTCGTGGGTGGGGTCTGGGGTGGGGAGAGAATAAACTTGCAAGCAAAGATGGAAGAAAGAAGATGGAAGCCAGCCAAACAGAGCCATGGCTTCAGTCTGGGACATGTGTGGACTGTGACTCTATTTTTGAACCTGTGCCAATAATACCATAATGTGCCATGATTCGCCTGGGGGAAACGTCTTCAGAAGGTGACGCAGAGCGGAATACATGTCAAAAAGAAAAAAAATATATAGTGAAAGCAAGGGTGGGGAATATCTCTTCTAATAAAGTCAGTATTTCTGGTTACTATACATATAATATATATATATATATAAACACAAACACTTTTTGTACTGTAGCAAATTTTTGGAAAAAAAATCTTAAATGTTCTGGGTTGTTGTTTTTTTCTAAAAAAAAAAAATTAATACCATCAAAGAAATGGGTGTTGTGGGTTATAAATATGATTCCGTTTGACACGCTTAGTATATATGAACTTAAATAAATGGATGTTTTCTACTTCAGAAATTTAGTTTTCACAAACATACATGCTGACACCTGCATTTCAAAGCCCATTTCTACAAGAGAACTAATTTAACAACAACAACAACAACAATCCCGGGGTTGGGAAAAGGCAATTGAGCGTTCTCTGAATAATCCATGTTGATTACAGCTCTTAGAATTTAACAAAAGAATTTAACAAAAGTGGATCCCGTGTGAACACAGAGAGTTTCAGTGTGCAGAAGGAACCAATTCAGGCTATGACATTTCTCCATGCCTATAGGTTTCAGGATGCAATGCTAAAAATTCTTAACAGGGAGTAAGTCACATTGATTTTAAAGAGATGTACTTTTGAGTAGACATGGTTAAGGTTGTCAGACTGTGTTCCCTGGGGTTCCTTTAAATCTTATTGAGGATCCCTTGATGAGAAGGTCAGCAATGGTGGCGCCACATTCTTGAAAGACAGAAATCTTCCCTTGCAATGCACATCCACAGGAGAGCATGGGGGCCATGTTCAGAAACAGCCCCTCAAGTTCACTCAAGGCAATGACAATGGCCAATAGATCTGATATGTGACGTTCTGGTGGTCATCTTTGCATTTGCTTCAGAACCTTCTGTCAACACACAAGAGATCCATGGCAGATGAGCCAGTGTGGGAAAAGATGCTTGAAAACTACATGACTATCTGCACATTCAGAACTTCGTGGAGAAAGGCTAGTGTATGCCAGGTGACCAAAAGCAAAGGAAAATAAGCCAATGTGTTGTATGGGGGAGGAGGGGCTTTGAAAAGTGTTTGGGAACATCAACTGGACCAGAACATGATGAGTGCTTACCTCACCAGTTTGCTGGTTTTTGTTTCTGAGGACAATTCAAAGTCCTTGTATTGACTTCCAAAGCCTCTAGTTGTTTTTGGTGGGCTGGGATAGGTGAAGGTCTTCTCCTTCCACTTGAACCTGCCTATCAGCTCAAATAATCAAATAAGGATCTCCTTGTCCTACAGAGGTTAAGTAGCTCACTTACCTGAGAGAGAGTCTTCTTGTGTGGTGGCTCTGTGATTGTGGAATACCCTTCCTAGGCAAGTTATCACTTGGAGCCATCATCCCTCTCTCTTAGGCACCAGATAAGGTCCACCTTGTGTCCTCCCCTGTGTTTTTAACACTGTGTTATTTCTTTTCTCCTTTAAAAAAAAAAAACTCCTGCTGAAACTGTTTTATTGGGCTGCTGTTACTGGGTTTCTTTCTTTTTTTATTAAAAAATGTTTCTAAGATAGTTTATTATTGATTGTATTGTTGATTTTAATTTTTGTAAGCTGCCTTGAGCAGCTTTGGAGAAAGGTGGGAACCACTTTTCCATAAGTAATAAACAATAAATACAAAATTAAGAAGAAGACTCCTGTAAGAGTTATGTAGGAGGGAGAATTTCCATGGGCACCACTCGATCTTCAGAATGAGACTACGATGAAAAGTCTACACAACCATAAAACAGGAAATGCTTGGAGGAAGACTTGCTCTGAGTCAGAACACAGACTGATCTGACCATATCATACACTACTACCAAGAGCAGTACATGCAAGCCAAGGAAAAATGCTAAGGTTCTCTACTTTCATTCTTAAACTATGAACATGATTAGGAAGTGGCCCAAGCATTTTGCACTGGGCCACAGATATCCTGACCCTTTCAAAAAGATCCTTTTATTAAAAAAATTACTTGGATATGAGTAGTATTTGAGAGGAGGTATGCTGAGTTGCAAAGAGCGTGTTCGTAAGCACTCAGCCATCCATCACCTTAATTTGCTCAGAAACCTGCATTTGCATCTATACATATAAATTAACATATGCAAGTTTTTTGTGCATTTGTGTTCCGATGAGCCAGTGCCCTGAATCCTTTAAGTACCTAGCAATACCTTTGCCTAAACTTAATTTTGTTTTTCATTTCTTTGAATTCCATTCATTTCATTCCCCTCCCATTTATGTTTGTTTTAAGACTTCTGATGTTTACAGCATTGGCATTTACCATCCAAAAGGCATAAAATTCCCAGGCCTTCTGTTACCCTTTCAAAGGATCAGATGTGCCAAATGCCAGATGGATGAACCAGAACAGCCTTTGATTTGTAGACCTCATTTTATATCTGTCTTTCTTATCCCCTGTGACCTCACTGTGACCTATCCAGGTTGTTCCAGGTTATTTCAATTTGTGTACCAATAGAAATGAACAGTGGGTGGGCACCTAAAAATGAAATGATTGCACAATTTTCATTTTTTATTGTTCAGAAATCAATGAGGTTCATTCTTCCCACCTTCCTTCCTTCCTTCCTTCCTTCCTTCCTTCCTTCCTTCCTTCCTCTTTCTTTCTTTCTTTCTTTCTTTCTTTCTTTCTTTCTTTCTTTCTTTCTTTCTGCCTCTGATTGTCAGTGGATCTCCAGGGCCTTCGGTGGAAGTTTTTCCTGTACTCTAAAATACAGGAAATACCAGGGATTAGACCTGGGATTAGACCTGCAAAACATGTACTCCTGTCTTCCTGGGGCTGATGGGAGTCGTAGTTCAAAACATCGGGAAGGTAACAGGCTGGTGAAGGTTGGAGGACATTGCCACTAAACAATGGTCCTTGCTGGCCTCCATGACTTCTGGTCTTTTGCACATACCCAGAAGAGCCTTTCTCTATACATCAATACATACCATCAAATATTTGACAGTGTAAAATGGCTTCCTTTCCTTTCATATCAAGGCATAGGCAGGGGGTGCTGAGGGTGCCCAGACACAGCACTGTTGTAGTTGCCAACCATCTGTCTCAGGAGACAACGGAAGAATGCCCCTTCTGGGGTGAAGTCAAACTGTTGCAGAGTTACAGCGCCTGTTGTGGCTGTAGAGACCAATATGGGAGAGTCATGTTTTATTGAAGGTGGGGCAGATGAAGGCATCCAGTTTTGCTGCTACTGGTGCACCTTGGCAATTCCTCTCTCTGTGCTCCTCCCAGCAATCACTCCTGCTCTGGTCACCGCTGTGGGCATGAAGCAGGAGAAAACCTGCTATTCACACTAGTACCATTAACTGCTCGTGAGTCGGGTTGAAGGAAGAGTCCAAGAGTACTTAACTGCAGCAAAAGTGTTTCAGTGAGATTGCTCCGCAAAAACTGAACCCCAGGTGTTGTCCACAGGGAACTTCTTAAAGGGTTTACAGGCAAATGATTCATATATAATCCAGTCAAAAGCACCAGACATTTGCAGAGGGTAGCTGGCAAAACACTCATTGGATTCAACTCTCTGTCCAGTTTGCACCTTGACATGGCATCCCTTCGAGGGCCCCTCACTTCTTAGTCTACATAGATACAAGCCTACATACTAAAAGGTAGAATAGTAGTCTGAGATTTATGTTTACATAGATAACAAGCCTACATAAGGGCAAGTTGTCCTTCTAGTAAGCTGGGAAGGCCAGACTCCCATAAATTTACTCTTCAGAAGTACATTCCCAAGTGCCATTCTCATATTCTCTGAACCCAGGTGTCTCTGCAAAGGGGCCTTTTCTGTGAGCAGAGGAAAGGGTGTCTCTTATGTCTCGAAAGGGAGCTTTTGTGAGCCAAGAGATTTTTAACAGAACCCCTGGTCTCCTTCAAAGGGGGCTCTTTCAGACCCCCAAATCCCCCCTGCAATGCCTCAGATACACAACCTGACTGCCTCTAGGCACGACATTCATCTGCAAAGGATTCCCATTCCGTGGGGTTAATGTTGCCAGCGCTCATGTCATGTTTGCAGACATCTTTGTAGCGTATAATGTTTGCAAACCTGGAGACCGTGGTGAGAAGGGAGAACATACAGAGCAACAACCCAGGTCCCTCAGCTGCCACGATCCATGGGGAAGTGGCAGTGGGGAGGAGACAAAGGCAGAACAGAGGAAGAAGGAACCAAACACAGAGGTGTGCAGACAGTAGTTAAAGGCTGGATTGGATCTGCCTGCATCGGTCTCTGGAAGTGGCAGCAGTGGCAATACGTACTTCTCCCTTACTGCTGCCACTGCTGCAGTTAACCACCCCACTGCCACTTCCTGAGACTGATGCAGGCAGAAACTGCAGATCCATTTTGCAAAACAAGAGAAGAGAAGACAAACATATTCCAGACTCTGTGGTTATATGTGGTTACATCAAAAAGCATGAAAGAAATTAGAGGAAAAAATGAGAACAAACAAGCAAACACAAGGGTATGAGAAATTCCTAAAATAACCAGGCAGATTTGTGTTGAGCCTGAACTGTTCTTTTGTGTTCTTTTGAGTTAACATACTAAGTAAGTGAGCGCCAAATTGCCACATATGGTTCTCTTTTTCTCTGATCAGTTTGTACCCTTAACTTATGGTTGGGTTTTTTCAAAAATAGCCAAACCTTTCAGAACCAGTCTGAAAAATTAGAACCATTCCAAAACTTTGCTGCAGTTGTTTGAGCTGCTAACAAGAGAAGGGAAATTAATGTCTGTTTTTTTCAGAACATTGAATAAATTCAGTAAGGTGAGTCATGGGAATGCTGAAACATTTAGTTTTGTTATTTTTGAAATTGCTCCAAACACATCCCCTGCCCCCAACTTCTAGATGACAGGGCAGTCCCACTTGAATCTGGTCTTCTGTTGTGGCCTATGCAAAACCAGGTCCCAGCAATTAGAAGAGGGATTCATTTGGTCTTCTTCTTACAGAAGACTGACCCAATTTGACACCTGCTTCCAAATTCTGTGCATCTTATACTATAATGCAACCGGCAGTCAGATTATGCAGTTCTCCCAATTTGGCAAAGGTGA